GGAGCAAACAATCTGGTAAAGTGTTCTGCCCAAACTTCAGAGTTTTCTACATTCCACGTTTCCACAGCCCCTGCCTGCACAAATGCCTTAAGCATAGGAAAGGAAATACTGAGCAGAACAGGTGGGAAAGCTGTGATAGAGGAGAACATAATGGGTTGCTTTCATTTACCTGGGAGTCGGCACCGATGCTGTGCAACACCTGTGGAACTGTTGCTTGGAATTGCTGAAAGCAGCTCTCAATGTCACACGGCAGAAGGCTCGCTTTTATCTTTGCATGTATCCCTGCCTCGTTTGGTGCAGTGCAGGGTGGAGGCCATGCTGTGATCCTGCCAAATATCCTTGTAGCCTGGCCAGACAGCGTTATGCAAGTCCTGCAGCATTCCAGGTTTACTCCTGGACTTTTTGAAACCGTGACCGACTAAATTTCCACTAGAATTGCAGAGTGGAAAGCGAAAATAAAGACGGCCTCCTTTTCCAAGTCGAAATGATGAAGTACTTGAGCTTCACTTACCATTGAGAGGGACACAGAGCACGAGAGTGTCTTTCTGTGTAGCCGTTAGGGTCATCGTTACATCAACAGCAAGGGCAAAAAGGAAAGCTACCAGGAGGAATCACAGTACCTCACACATCCACACACATCAGGAGAAAAGAAAGGGAAGGAGTCACACGCCAGCAAGAGAGAAAGAACACCTCTGCTAGTCTACACACTGTCAAACACAGGAACTGTGGTGAGTGTTCAGGCATACATCTTGCTGGGTTCTGTTGGGTACCAGCAGCCCAACAGGGATTTTGAAACAGACCACAGTATTTCCAAGACAAAAGGAAAACATGGAGCCTCTGAGATGGAAAAATGTCCTAGAGAAATAAAGCAGCTCCCCCCTCCCTTTGTCCCCAGACCTGTACAAAAGGGACAGACACCTCTGAGAAGTCACTGTGAAGTGCCACCTCTGTTTGCTCTTACGGTTTGTTAATGAGCAATCAGCTCACTCGTGTTACCAGGCAGTATTTACCTGTAGGCACACAATTAACACATCAGCTGCTTGGGTCAAACGTGTGAGGAACCAGTAGAAACCAGGCAGGACCAGGACAGGTCTTTGGGGTTCTGTTGATGCTGCTGGTGTCAAGTTTTGAAAAATTCTAGTGGTCAAACCTACAGACAGTGCTCAGCTCTGGTGCCATAACAGTCACTACCACCTCCTACAAAGTGTCATCCATCATATCTGAGAAATTCTTCTTCCATAGAGAACTCACACCCCATAGCTAATGCTTGGATCATTTCCTTTGGTCTGGCTACCACGATGACACAATATTGCATAGAATTAAGAAATACTAAGTGAAAAAAAAGAGGCGTAAGTTTCTCTTAGCGTGACTCAGACGTGACTACATAATAGGTTCCTTCAAATTTAGCATTTGCTTTCTGTTGTGAATGCTATCTTAAGACTCTTCCCAAGGCAGGCCAATGGAAAATGCATAGAAATAAATGTGGAGGCAGTTTTAGCCAGTAATACAGGGTCCATGGAGCAGCTGTGGGTGAAACTTGTGCTGGGCTTTGGGCTCATGAATTCTCCCACTGGCCTGCTGGCCCATGCCCATGTCCTGTGTGCTCGGTGCAGCCCCTTTTGTACGGGACATTGGTGCAGCTCTGGCCGGAATAGAACAGGCAGGGTATTCAGGCTTTGGGTTGGCAAAGAAACAAGTTCATTTACAGAATGTAAAACCACCTGCAGTAGAGCCTTTGTGCTGCCTGTGGAAATCAGCCTGGCAGCGCTCCTTCAATTGACACCTTGAGGTGCTCAGCACATTCACTGCCCCGTTTTCCCTCCTCCTCCATTCTCACCACCAAGGAAGCTGCACCAATGGCTTGCTCAAAGACCCATCGATCCATACAGCTGCTCAGTTCCAGAGGCTGAGTGGTTTCAACGTTGTACAGAACAGAGGGTCTTAAAGACAATGCTGGGCAAACTGGACAAACCCAGAAACTCACCTCCAGAAACAACAAAGCAAGGAAAATGCTAAACAGAAAACAAAAGTCACAAAAATAAGAATGAAACAATGGGCTAAAATTAAAGCACAATTGCTCATGTTAAACAAATACTCCGTTCTAAAGCAAACTGCAACAATGACAGAAACAATGCACCATCCTAGTTTTTAAATCTTGAAAAAACACAAAACAGAAAGGCCCAAGCGGGATAGAGTTCACCAGGTGAAGAAAGAAATTGTGGTCAGAAGAACTCATTCGTGTAAGTCCTTTGGTGGAGCAGAAGACAGAGACATCCTGGGAGAGCACTGAGTTATGAGGTACAAACTAAGCGCAGGTTGAATATTGTAACAAAGCACCTTGAGCCAGTTTGCAAGACAGATGATATCTGGATGCTGCTGTAATAATGACTGTTTTACCAAAACAGACCCCTTTATACAGCAGTGCTTCACCGCATATCAAGCAATAAAACAATTTGTGGATCATGTGGGGCTGTGAAGGTCACAGAGCAGGTTGACAAAGTAAATTAGCAAACTGGTTCGTAAGTCCAGGAAATCGTATTTTGCAAATGATGCAGTAAACATTTCCCAGAGCTGAGCTGCTGAGAGGCTTAAATAGCAGAGAGCAGAACAACCACTGCAGATGAACTGCAGGGACATGAGCACGCAAACCACAACTGTGCTCTGTATTGGCAGAGCAAAAATGCTAGAGGTGGAGAAGCAGGTACACTACAGAGTATGCAACGGCCTTGAAGGAGGCTTAGAGGAAGGTGTGCTCTCACAGTCCTTGATGTGGGACTGACAAAGGAAAGCAGCAAAAACAGCAAGCACAGCACTTCACTGGTGAAACAGCAGGATGAGCAAGGGGACTTTCACCAGCCTGAGCCCCAGGACGGCTTTAGCACCTCTGCAGGAGGTGGACAAGCACACCGGGATGTGAATATCATTGAAGAAATGCAAGTCATGGTGTCCTCTGTGTTTCAACACCTGACAGACCTGGTTTTGTTGGTGAAGGCAGAGAAAACGATGATGTTCTCAGAGTACTGACTCATGACACAGATGCTCATTGCTGTAGAAGATCATTTTCCTACATTTTGAAAATAAAACTGAATTAGAAAAAACAAAAGCAGTAGTTCTAAGGGTAGACTGGTAATGCAGATCCAGAACTGGGTCTGCAGCTGGACCTTGGTGTCTCAGTCCCAGCTTTTCCCTGACTTGCTCACCAGCCACTGTCTTTCTCCTAAACCAAAGCACAGCATCACACCACACACCATGAAGAAAAAAATCTACTGAAACCAGGACAGGTTACCCAATTCCTACGGGGCTTTGTTTTTGGCACTGATGCTCCCATATGCCAAGAATCCTGTTTCCAAACATGCCCAGCACCTTTCCATTCTCCGTGGTGTTGAGCCATTCATGGTTCCTCACACCAAATCTATGGTGGGATTCCATCAGCACGTCCAGGCTTGAATAACAACAGAGTTTGATTTAACAAGTCTTGCCATCAACACAGCATCTGCTCTGCCTTCAGGACCATAAGAAGTATCAAGGTATGTCCAGCTGTCAACCACGAGTCCCTGCCACCAGCCCTACTGGGCAGGATAACAGTAGCTAAGGCATCAGTGCTGCAAACCCTAAAGCTGTAGCTGCTATGTGTCTCTGGTGTTCTCACTATGGATTAATTTCTACATTAAATATTGCTTTGGCATGCAGTCATTAAACACTTTTTGGATCATCAGCCAGCAACCCATCTGTACTTCTATTTCTCTCTCACAGCACTCCTAGCTTCTCCCTTGCCTCCTGTGGGTTACTATCCATTTGGTCATCAACCTATTGACTTTCTGAGTGGTTTTTTTGTTTTTTGTTTTTTTTTTCAAACTAAAGCTCAGCATGCTTTGCAAGTGCCCTCGTAAGCACCTCAGTGGCACCACAGGGAGATAAAGAGAAGCCACAGGACATTTGGTAGTGGATGGCCTTCAATACAGCACACATGTTGCTGCCGTGGTTTGTAGATGTGAAAGGAACAGACTGCACATCCACGTGTTCACTTGTAAGCCTGCTTTTACACATGGCAGGATCTAGGCAGATACAATTTCAAGCAAAAAGAACCAGAAATCCATGATTTTGTACTCACTTTCAGTTTTGGTCACAAAACTGCCCCTATGCTGTAGAAAACCAGGTGAAAGCCTGGTGAAAAAGTCAAGGAACAAGGTTATTTTAAGTGACTAACAATGTGGTGAGAAATCTTAGCTCCATTAAAGTGCTTTTTCTGGGTTCTAAAAAGTCTTCACACGCACTGTACTGTTGATTAAAAATAGAAGAAAGTTAGCATCATTATCTTGTGCTACAAAATAATAGCTCCAGGAAATTCATCAGAACAAAAGCAAATGTCCTTGTGTGACTTCTTGTCTAGACTGGACAGGAAATCATTGTAAGAAGAGGATTATATTTAAAACCAACAAACAGAGATGGCATAAATAGATGATTAAAGCAGAAATTGCAAAATAAAATGGGAAGGAGCAGACAGTCAAATGAACAACATTCTTTTGTTTCACGTATAACAAACTGGCTCCATTTGGCTCATTGACTATGATGAAGTGGATTAAGCTCCCCCTTAAAAAAGGGTCCCCTGGGACAGCTTTATGCTTATCATACAATAGTTTTAATGCCATTACGTACACAAACCTCCCAGAATTACAAATCCAAAGTGAAATAGATGCCAACACTTCACCTGGTGAAATCTATCTTAGGACAGCTTAAAAAAAAAAAAAAAAAAGCTTCTAAATTACAGTTGTAACGAGGCAAAAGATGAGACGTCACAAGGAAAAACAGTAACAAACTGAAAGAAGTACTGCAGCCCACGGTTAAGTGATCAGTTCAGTCAACCTAAAGCCCTATCAGTAACAGAGATGGTGTAAAGCATTCACAGAGTGCTACAGGATGCTCCAGTCGAACAGACGTGCGACAGCACTGAGAAGCAGAAACCACGAGACAGAAGTCTCAAATAACAAAACAGCGCTTACGCGGCTATGGAAATGTTGGCTGCAGACATGGGGCTGACTTCTGCTACCTCCTTGGCCTTCTGCAGGGCGAGCTTCTGATTGGTGGCTTCCTCCATCTCCTCCTCATCCTGGGGCAGAAAATCAGACAGATCAGAGCCTGCATGGTGCAACGACAACACCTAGAGCTCCCCAAGGCATGGGTGCAATGCGACTGGCACTGCTTTGCCATGAGAAAAGTGGAAATTCATTAAAAAAAAGGCAGAATCTCAAAACCTCTTGCAAGGTAGGGTTTCTCTCTCAGCAAAGAGATGGGAAACACAAGGTTTGGTCTAATGCTCAGTGCATCTTTACTGAGAATACACCTCCCTTGTGAAGCTCTTACCTCTTTTGGGTCTCTTCTTATCACTCAGTGCTTTGGCACAACAGGGAGAGACCTGAGCAGAATTGTGACACATCTGGGGTAAAGGCAGCCTCATTCATCACGCAGTTACATGTGCAAAAGCATTCAGAAGCCTACATCCTAACAAAACGGGACACTCCCAAAGCCAACATGAACTATCTGAAGCAATAGACCCAGCAGACAACAAAGGGCTTGACTGGCCCTGCTCACACCAGTTTTATCCCCAATACTACCACTGATTTCAGTGTATCGCTGAGGATGGAGTGGGTGAAAACAGAAAGGAGAAGACAGAGTAGACTGAAGCAGATTAAAGGGACAGTCAAGCACAGCTCAGAAAGCTGGTCATGTTTGCGAGTTCTACGCGTTCCTCAGATCACCTATGAGGGTTATTTTTTGGACTGCAAATTCCTACAGAGTACAACTGTGATTTATTTTCTCCCACCTGCTGTGATTACAACAGAACACTGCTTAAAATCAAACTGCAGGATCTTTAGGACTGGAATGAGAACAAAAAGCAAAACAAGCAGCATCCCATTCAACTCCAGTAGTCACATGGCTTGAACTTCCTTTGAACTTTCCAGCTAGTTAACTTAGATAGGAAATGATGCCTCATGCCTGGAGGTGTTCAAGGCCAGGTTGACTGGGCTCTGGGCAGCCTGATCTGGTATTAAATGTGGAGGTTGGTGGCCCTGCATGTGGCAGGGGGTTGGAGCTTCGTGATTCTTGAGGTCCCTTCCAACCCATTCTGTGATTCTGTGATAAGAAAATGAGGCCAAAGTACAGACACTATGGCAACATCCACACCACTGTCAGGGAAGAACCACACGTCAAGATGACAGCAGTCAGCAGCTCCTTTGTCAAGGACCCCAGACCTGCATCTGCCCTTCAGAGGTAAACTGTGAAACAGTTATGCTTAAAGCAACGAAAAACAGCAGTAAGACAACCAGCTTTGAAACAGGAAGGCATGTAGGTTTATCATGGAATCGTGTGAGTTGGAAGGGGTGCTTAAAGGTCCTTTAGTCCAACCTCCCTGCAGTGCTCAGGGACCCATCCTGAAGGCCTTTTCTCCTTTAGGAGGAAAAAGAAATGATCGGTAATTAATTAAAAAATCTGGTTCCATTACAATTTCAAACCTTTCAGGCTGACTCCTTTCCAAGCATTAACAGATCTACGACAAAAATTCTTACTGTGATGAATAAAGAATGAGACAGGCCACCAACAGAAGCCTTGCTTACAGCAAGCAAGAAGCTTTACACCAAGTCAGCAGTCCATATTTCTCAATGGCTGACTTCCAGTATATGTACTGATGGCTTAGAAGCAGCCTGTAAATCAGTGCTATCTGCAGAATATGAATATTTTGAGAAATAAATTCCTCAAAGAGGAGTCTTCCAAGGTTTTTCTTTCAGCAGGTATATTGAAGCTGTTTCTTCTCTTGGGGAGCTCTTTATTTTTCTCCACCTAAAGCACCAGGTGCAGATTTTACCATCTTTATAAAATTTCTGGCTTCTCTTCTATGCTCCCCAGTGCATCCATAGCACAGTGAAATACTCACTGTCGTAAGGGCAGCCATCCCTAACTCAGAGCAAGCACATTCTTTATCAGATGACTGCTTAATAACATTTCTGTAGCTCCTTCTACACAGAGATCTGTGATCACTTCACGAATGTTAATTAATTCCCTGCCTGCCATGTGTGCTGCAGTGTCTCATGGGGGCATGGGATCATCCCGCTCTGTTTGAAGCACACAGGGCTGACGGTGCATGACTGAGGTGAGCTCTGAACTGTGACATTAGAGCCACCTCTGGGAGCCCCATCATCACCTCATGATAAAGGCACTGCCTATAGGGACCAAAGTAGTGTAAGCAGGAGCTGAGTTCGACATCTTCATCAAAACCACAGTTTACCACGTGGTAAAGCCTGGCTTCAGTGCTAATAATAATTATGTGCATAGTTAACACCCAATCAAAGACCTCTCCATTGGGTTGGATGAGAAGCCTCCGTGGCTGCTACTCTCTTGTCTTCAACCTATAATATCTGGGGAATTCTGAACTAATTTTATGTAAAATTCACACATCCCTCCTACTGTATGTTTTTATCCAGACTTCTCCAAGATTGTTTGGAGCAGAGATCAGACGACGTACCTGAAGCTTTCAGGTGTTTTTTTAGGAAGGCAGAGGGCTTCCCAGCTCACCCACCCATGGCAGCTTCCCACGCCAAGATGAAGAATGGCAGAGAATCCTAGAATGGCTTGGGTTGGAAGAGACCTCAAAGATCATCTGGCTCCAACCCTCACGCTGCAGGCAGGGCTGTTGTGTCATGTTGTGACACCAAAGAGCAAATTGGAAGCAAATTTGGGGGACAATTTCAGAGTGTACACTGAATTAGCAAATGAGAAGAAAAACCTGCCAACACCTAGGAAAAAAAAAAAAAAAAAAGCAGAGAGCAGCCTAGAGGGATTGGAGATAGTTCTGAGAAGTGTAGAAACAATGCTGACATTGTAAAGTCAGAGCCAACACAGAAAGGAGAAAGACCCAGGGATGGAGAAGCAAAGGCTGGATAATAGATTTGTTCATAGAATCATAGAATGGCTCAGGTTGGAAGGGACCTGAAGGATCATGAAGCTCCGTCCCTCCTTGTGCATGCAGGGCCACCAATCTCCATATCTAACACTAGGCCAGGCTGCCCAGGGCCCCATCCAACCTGGCCTTGAACACCTCCAGGGATGGACGGGGCATCACAGCCTCTCTGGGCAGCTGTTCCAGCACCTCACCACTCTCTCTCTAAAGAACTTCCCCCTGACATCCAACCTCAATCTTCCCTCCCTCAGCTTCAAACCATTTCCCCTTGTCCTGCTGTTATCTCCCCTTTCTAAGAGTTGATTCCCCTCCTGTTTGTAGGCTCCCTTTAGGTACTGAAAGGCTGCAATGAGGTCACCCCACAGCCTTTTCTTCTCCAGGCTGAGTTCTGTAACAACCATTGGATGATCAAATTAAATACAGCTGCAGCTCTGCTGCCCCTTGGTACGGGTCACAGGGCCCAACTAGGGCAACAGTAAAGGAAATCCAAATTCACACCCAGAACTGAGAATGCTGGTTAAAATGCTTCAGTCCTGATGTCTGGGAAGCTTTCTGTCTTCCCAAAATAGAGGCAGGTACAAACTGCTTATGGTTCTCCCACAGTATATGCAGCACTGATCTTGATTAGTTTTACAGCATAAATGTCAAGAACATCTCCTGAGATCAACTGACTCCTGAGTAACTTAATTATAACTCCAGGCCATTTTTGGTTTTGCATGATCATATTTACTTAGCAATAAATCTCTCATTCTCCAGGTTTGCCATACAATTGAATTGCTTTAATCTTTTCCCTCTGCTTTTGAAACTCCCAGAGATATTTTTTCTCCTTTTTTTTTATCATAAGTAAAATTAAAGCAAAAAAAGAAGTTTCTTAAGAAGTTTTATGATTTTGCAATGCCGCTGAATCCATCAATATTTCATTACACTTTATAAACATAAACAAAGTCGGGTTTCTGACCCTTCCAGTCAGCTGCTGAAATGTTCAGGAGAAAGTGCTATAAGGATTCAGAAAGAAATGGGATGAGCTTCATTACCCAACTATACAAGCAGAAGTTTGTAAAATATAGCTGCTAAGGTAAATACAGGGCTTGTGCACCAGCAATCATTGGCTTAGAGCAGCGGGCTGTGCACACATCCACCTCCACCTCGTGAGAGCAAAGGTGTGCAAACCAAGCCCAGTGCTGCTGAGCATCACCGAGTACAGCACAGCCAGGAACAAAAAGCGTGCAATAACCCAAATGCAAACTGCAGCGATTGCAATCCTTTCTGTGCTGTACAGAGGCTGTTTCCATAGGGAATGCTCAATATAAATCTAAGCACACAGCAGAGCTCCAGCAGTGACTCTTCCAGCTCGTGCCAGGACCCGGCTTTCTGCCTCTGCTGTGCTTTGGATTGCTCTGCACCTGGTAGGAGGTGGGAAGGTTCCAACATTCTGGCTTTAAACTCACTGTGACCTCTTCAAGTTGTTTTCCAGAGTTGATTGGAGAATATTAATTCTTTGATTCAAACTCCACAACACACGAAGCACCAGCATGAGACAGCAAAGGCAGCCACACACCACCTGTGACTCCCCACGCCGAAGCCTCAGACACACAAGTCAGCCAAAACCCATTAATTCTTTCGCCTCTGCTCTTGAAAAAAAGCAAATGCTACAGAAGTGTGTTCACCTCCACACAGCAGCGACACGAGCAATGCCTGCTGCCTGCCCTGGCATGAAGAAATGGAACAGTTTGCAGAATCAAGCCTCGAGAACCAAACAGAACGGAATGAGAGCGGACCACTGGGTTCTTATCAGCAGTGTAAATTGGCACACAGAGGGACAGCGTGAATGGAAGTCTCTGCTTTAGGTCCAGCAGCTGTGGCCCAAGTTTGAAGAACCAGAAGTCATGTACTTACCTTGGTCAGCTCTTGGGCATTGGCCAGGTTGTCAACGGCGATGGCCAAGAAGACATTCAGGAGTGTATCTGTTGGGGAGCAGCTAAGGAAAAATCTTCACATAGCAAACAGAGAAAGCAATTACTCTTCTCCTACACTACAGCCTTCTTTCTCCACTTCCAATCATGGCTATATTACTGGTGGATCCCCTGCACCACTGCTCTGTCATCTTTATTTCTAACTCACCAGGAGTAGCATGTGCTGGGCACCCACCTGACTTCACCAGCACACGTCCTGAGGGGATACACACACCCACACACACAGGATTTCACCATCATTTATCCTTCCTGCTTAACAGAACAACTGGTAGCTCCTGGAAATTGGCCATTATAAAGGCCATGTTAGCATACAAAGACATCGGGCAACACGAAAAGGCTGAGCTGAGATCAGTGCTGTGCCACGTGCCATTGGGAGGAACTCTCATGGCTTATCACAGCAGAGGGGATGTGACATCTGCACAGCAGTTGCAAAGCAGCCACAAAGAAATTGTAAATCAGATATCTTTGCATACAACAAGAGAGCAAGCAAAACAAATCCAAGTCTTCACCAAAGCCCAAGAAGCAAAAAAACATTTGCTCCCATACACTGCCTGGTGACAGGACCCCATGGCTGCGTAAGGCTATAACTACTGCCCTAAATGTGAGCATACATGCCTTTTAAGTTGATCTAATGCATTCACCCTCTGGAGATTCACAAAGCAGTGCACTGCTGTTGCATTCATACTCTGTTGGCCTCGCCAGAGCCATAGATGAGCCTGGCTTCAGCAGCACCCTGGCTGTGAGTGCTGCATGCTGAGCACCACCACTTCACATTGGCACAGCTTCAGGAGACTCCCCAGGGCAGCCAGAGAGCAAAACTTGCCCAGATCCAAAAGCTCAAGGCTTCTTGGCTTTCCTTTATCAGGAGCCCTCATCAGACGAGAACCTTTCAGGCCTCTCACTCCCATTGAGACAAATGCCTCCAGAGCCAAAACACTGATCAAAACCCAATCCTCTGCTTGGGGCAGTGGAAGTAGGAGCAGAGTGTACTCCTTCAGGATGTGTCTGCATCCTGCAGGGAATGGGACAAGGACTCCTGGGTTTTCTCCAGGCATCCATCAGGATTTCACCACCACAAGCAGCACGGGATAGAGGGTTCTACCATGCACGGATGATTCCATGGGGACAGCAAGAGCTGTAAAATGTGATGCACATCCACTGCGAGGGGTACGGGGCAGGAGCTCCTCGCTCCCACTGAGCCCAGCAAATGAAGAACAAGAAGGGAAAGATGATAACCAGAATGATCATCTCCCTCCCACGCTGGAGAGAGAGCAAAATCAACTTTTCATTTGCAAAGATATCTGTGTCTCCATTTCCTTTTACCTGGCGAACGGCTGAGGGGCCACCCTTGGTGCTTCGATGTTGGAACCGCCTCCAAGCCCCTGGCTGGGGGGAAGGAATGTCTCATAACAAAGTTGTCTTCCTACCTCTGCCTCCTACACACACATGCTGAAAATGCCTCATGTAACATAATCGGCCCCTGGAAACAGCATTATTTTGTGTTTTTTTAAGCTTGGGGATGTTTTGATTAATCAAGCAGACACGTTCCGGTGGAATTGAGTGTTTCTTCCCCCCCAAAAAAGTCCTTCCAACCCTTTTGCAGAGCTTGGGAACTCCCAGACACCAACCAACCTCCATCTCCAGGCTGTACAGCCTGACCAGACACTGAGCACAGCTCTACATGCTGCAGCAAAGTGCAGAAGGCAGCCAGTGGCCAGGCCTGGGAAGGGTGCCTGGCCCCAAGCATTAGCTGCTTTTCATTTTAGGTTTTTCTTCATAATTTTTGGGTTTTTTTCTCCTTTTCCCCTCAACAGATGCACCAATTTATCAATTTACCACATAACAATGAAGAAAAGCACAGTGTAATTTCCAAGAAAACGAGCCAAGTCCTGCTGTCACTCCAGTCACACTGCTTCCATTGAACCATTTCAGACACAGAGGTCTCTGCAGTTGAAAATGCAAGAGAATTCTGTCTTAGAAAACCAATGTTTATAGATCTTTTCCTTGCAACGTGCTTTGAAAATACAGATTCACAGAACAATTAAGGTTGGAAAAGACCTCTAAGGTCATCAAGTCCAACCATCCATATAAATAGATTCAAAGAAGCAACTGAGCTACAGCAAAAGCAAGGGAAAGCAATCTTGCTTCTTCCTGAAATGAAGCGATTACAGAGTCCCCATCAGTTTGAAAAGCAAAGGAGATCTTCATGCTTAAAAGGAGCAGGTTCTGCAAGCTGACCCAAAATCACCAACGCCCATTCTCTAAACTGCATAAAATAATGTATTCTTACAGCTTTCTGGAGGAGATCTGTGTAAAAAGGAGAGTGGCTGCAATGTTTAAGTCCCCAGTTATAGAAGAAAAGACATTTGACATTAAGCCAATCCATAACTAAACTAACCAGCAGTGCAGGATCGCTCTGTGCTGGGCACCCTCCCACTCTCAGTAGGAAGGTGAACCCACGGCTCACATCTGTGCTTCGCCCCACTCTGCAGCATCATTGACATTAATGGCTGTTTTACTTCCAGCAAAAATGCAGTTCTGCTATTTTCTGGCAAACTGAACTTTATTTTCAGACCTTCCTGCTTATGTTTTGACAGCTAAGAATAACGTTAAGTCCCTGGTAAGTCATACAGTTCAGCTTTCACCCCAAGATAAATGACTGCCTGCTGCTTGCTCTCAGCATCCAAACCGTAACTACGGAGAAGCAGGGATAGCTCTGACCTTCCTGAAAACCTGCTTGAAATACCAGCGTGAGCATCTGTGGGCTTAATGCTGCAACTCCCAAGGTAAACACACAAGGATTTAACCCCTTATCCTCCACTGACCCCTCTCGCTGTGTCTAAACGCCAATAGAGTCATGTGTGGTGCAGGAGAGCTCTTCCAATTCATGAAAGCAACCGATCCTCTCAGGCAAAGTCTTGGCCATGGCAAGGAAAGGCAAAGGCTGAATCCACGGCAGTTGCAAGGGGCGAGGAAGTCTTCATTGCGTCCATGCAAACAACCCCTGCTGTCTGTTACTGAAACTGAAGTACAAGGGGGAAGACCTCCCTTTCAAGTGAAGGGGCAAGAAAGGAATTAATACCCTGCTCTTCAACACTGCTGTATCTCAGCTGCTCTGAGGTTAAAAGTCTCTCTCTCTTCCCCTCAGCCTTGCTGTCAAGCCTGATTACGACTTAATCTCATTTCCAAATGCCAAGCCCTGAGGACTGAGAGCAATCCCAGCTCTCCATTGACCCACTTTTCAGACACAGCATGTTTCTGGAAGGAGCACGCTTAGGCGGGTGCCTGAGTGTAGCTGCTGAACCAGCTCACGTGTCCTGGCTGCTATTGCTCTGGCAGTGCACATTAATGGGACAAACCCCACAGACAGCCCTCTGGGACATGCACAGCTTGCACGCCGCCTGCTCTGCTGTTCCCTGCCACAGCTCCTCATGCCAGTGGAGAGATTTCATGCAATGCAAAGGGCTGAGCCTGCTTCACAGTTCATGGGCTCTGATGTCCCATGTCCCACTGCTGGCTCGTGGTCACCCTGCTGGCCACCAGGACTCACACATCCCTCTCTGCAGAGCTCCTGTCCAGCAGGGCAGCCTCCAACCTGTACAGATGTGTGCCATTATTCCTGCCCAGGTGCAGGACTCCACACTTAGCCTTGCTGAACCTCATCACCCAACTCTCCATCCTGTCCAGATCTGCTGAATGGCAGCACAGCCTCAATCCACCCCACTGTCTGCTCATCTATCTCACACTTCCTAAACTTACCTACAAGGAAGTTATGGGAGGCGACATCAAAAGCCTTGCTGAAGCCAAGGTACACAACATCCACTGCTTTCCCCTCCTCTAGTCATCTGCTGCTCAAGCAGAACAGAAATACTCAGCCTTATTATCCCTATTTACAGGATAAACAAGCCAGGCACACTGCCTCATATATGCAACCATTTTCAAGTTTCTGTTTCTTAAGGATGGTGTTTGACACTGCACAGCTTATCACTGCAGCCAGTGAACAGCTGGTACCAATGAACATGCAGCCAGCCAACGTGAGCAATACTATGCAACATCAACCCAGCAGCATCTTCATCACAAAAGACAGAGTGCTATCACTAATCCTGAGCTCTGCAGGCTCTCCCGTCCCTCCAGCCATTAGGTCTGAGGATCAGTTTGCTTGATTGCACATAAAACACAGCCTCCTGCTCCAAGTCTTTGCTCTGTATGACAGCTACTTCCAGCACACACCTTGGGGCACTTCTGGAGGCTCCCAGGTTCCCATTGCCCTGAGCAGGCTTTCATGACAAAGCAAAATAAAGCATCTTCATGGATGTATTTCTTTACTTGGAACAGGACCAAATACACCCAGAGCCCAAAATACAAGGGTTAGACTCATGATTTAAGTATTGTGTGAAGATATTTTCAAGCATTTGAAGTAGCACAGCTGGTGAAGCTGTCATGGCACCAAGAGACTGATGCCCAATTTACGTGCTAAAGCCATTTCAACTCTTTCTCTGCTTGGTTTAGTGTAAACTATCCACAAAGATAATCAAAGTACAGATGTCCTGCTTTGACTTGAGTTCAAATATTTTTCCTACAACATAAATGAACTCAAAATAGGACGTGCTTAATCTAAATCCATGAAAATTAAAACGAACAAAGACCATGCTCACATAGCCACCAGAAGTGTGACACCAACAAGGACAGCTTGCCTACTACTCTCAGCTCAGGTGCTGCAAGGAGCAAAGCCACAGCAAAAATCTGGTTTTAAAAAGTGCAAGGTTGGGGTGGGTAGGCATTAAACCATGTTAGATATTTCTGGCAACCTACAGTAGGCACTAAGACAAGGTATTATGCAAGGATACAGTTACCAAACAATGTCAGGACGATGAAGTAAATGGAGGAGAACATCCCCGAGTGGACACCGCCCTGTGACTCTATGCCGTGGTACATCACTGCGTTCCAGTCCTCCCCAGTCAGGATCTGCACAGAGAAATGCAAGAGAGAAGAAAATGACACACAGGGAAGACAAAGAAGGCACAAAGTGGGGGAGCTGGGCGATTGGACACAATCCTGGACCGGTCTCAGGCTGTGGAGTGGACACCAGCCTTGCAGCCCTGGATGGTCACAGCTCACACACAGCTTTCTCTTCTGCTGCCTCTTGGTGATGCGTATGCTTTCCACCTCTGGCATGGGCTCCCATGTAGAAGTCACATCCCAACACGTCTTCCAACCCATCTCCATTTTTAAGTCACGCAGAGATGTCAGGTTTTAACAATTCCACGTGCAGCTCATGTCTCCAAAGAAAACTCTGACATCCAAGCCCAGTGCCCCGAGCGCTTCATCTCCTCTCATTTCAACTCAGAGTTTGCTCAGTCATGACCCAACACACAGTCTATAAGCACTGGGTTAGCTACATAACAGGAGAAACACAGCTAAACAAACTCCTTCCCACTACTGAAAGCCCACTATTCCCCAGACCCTCAGGGCTGCAAACAGCCTTGCTGCAGCTGATCATTTCTCCAAATGGAAAACCCTCTAGCACAGCCACTGCAAGGTTTGCACCGAAATGGCTTTTTCCTAAGGCCAAAGGATCCTCTGTCAACCAGGCAACCATAAGCCTCCAGAAAACCTAAGCAGAAGCGATATCCAAATGTGAGTGAGGATAGCAAGGGGCAGTTTGAAGGAGTCTCTGCTCCTCCTGCATCCTTGTATGAGCAGAGCCCTGAAGAGCTGCGCTGGCTGCAGGATGGGATACTGACCCAAGGCTGATTAGCAAACATGAATAATACAAAACTCATTTTAATAAGTGGAAGAACCTAAGCCTTAAATAAGCTTTGTCACTCTAGATGCTAACTTTGCACTATCCTGAACCATCTGCCATTCCTCACCAACACAGAGCAGCAGATTAGATTTTCACCTGCCCACCATGGCCAATCCTACCGATTGTTACATTCATTACACTGAGAAATGCCCACTGCAATTAAGAGCTCAGATACCTAAGTAGGAAGCTGTCTATGTGTTTAGTACAAGAAAAAAAACAATAACAACAACAACAAAAAAGCAACCAGAAACAGAAAAACACCCTGAAGCACAGTGTGAAGAAGCAATCAATCCCATGTGCATACAGTATGCTCCAAATAATTACAAATTCCAGACTATCTGCTGAAAGAGAGAAAACGCCTTGCTGCAGGGCTGGTGCTGATGACAGCATTAAGGCAAGAAGAGACACAAGGCTGTGCAGTGCACATACAAACTTGTTTCCCAAATGCAGTATTTGGTTGCAGATAATTCACTGCAAGCAATCTGTACCACTAGAGTTGCCCTGGGCTTGCATCAGGGAATGTGAACCACACCACTGGGCTTCAAACTTTGGCATTCAATTACAGTGAGCAGCGTTCACAAACTTGTGTTCACATCATTCCCATGAATTCACAACTGCTCCTTCTGTCTGGAAATGAACACACAGCGATTGCTGTTCATACAGACACTCATGGGAAGGAGGTTGGTGAGAGCATTTGTGTGACCTGCATGAGACCAAGGCTTCCAGATACCACAGACTGCAGGATGCACAGAAACCCGCAGGACTTGGGCTTCAAAAATCCAGCCAGAATGTTTTGAAAAGGAAACAAGATAATGAAGGAAAGAAGTTTCATGAAACTGCCGCAGAGAGATAAGTGGTCTAAATTCAGCAGGCTGCATGCAGAGCTGGGGATGCTCTCAGAGGCTCTGGTGAGATGCACTCTTTGACCTGCTGTCCTTCCCCCATTTGCACCATTGCTCCCCAGCTGCAGGAATTACTCAAGCAATTAGGTAGCAGCCCTCAAGGAGCAGAGCACGTGGAGTTAATAAAGGCCTTTCTAGTCTATAAAGTCTGTTTTTATGGATGCTGAGGTCTGGCTGCACCCTGCTGCTTTGGCTCCTCAACTCCAGCAGCCCCTGGGGCTCCACTCCTTCACAGCACGTGCAGTTATTTAAGCAGCAGCCCTCCAGGAGCAGAATACATATGGTTAATAGAGGTATTTCTTCTTTGTAGAGTCTCTGTGTTTATGGGTGTTGTAAACACTTGCAGCTCAATGACTGCTGCAACAGAAGCATGTTGCTATTTGTCATGCCTATATATATGAAAATATATATATATATTTGTATATACACTGATTGGCATTCAGCTCACAAAGACTGTTCTTGAGAGCTAGGAAGAGAGTAAAAACGTGTGATACTTTTCTGTGGGAATTGAAGGGCAGTGGGACTCAGTAGAATCCAATGCTGAGCTCAGCCAGACAGATACAACACAAACTGGGATCCCATGACAGAGGCTGTGACCGACCTTCCAACCTCAGTGGTTCTATAACTCCATGTTCAATCTGAGCTCTGAGGGAGGTCATCCACCTCCATCTTAAAGCCTCTGCAAAGGGGTGAGGGATGGGCAGGGTGTATCTGGCTCTATCGTATTTGCTCTCTGAATTGCATACATTCACTGTATAATGCCACTCTGCTGACTGGAGCAGCATCCAAATGAACCTTCTGGCTGGTCAAGGAGGATCCAAAACCTCTGCTGAAGAAATGCTGACATCATATCTGCCACTCAAGAGAGGAGTGGGATTGGCTGGGAGCAAGAGGTTATTGAAATGCCTCTGTGAGGTTAATTGTCAGGGAGTTAATTCGGTGCCAGTGGTTTTGCTGCTTTTAATTCACAGCTCTGATGCTCTATACAGATGCCATAAAATCAGCACTGTTTTCCTTCATCGAACATCCACTACGCTACAGGGACATTCATTTTGGGAACAGAAACGAAATATTTCAGCAAAGTATTTTCAAGAGATAACTGTAGTCCCAAACCAAAATAGCAATGAAATCTCCAGATGCTCATATCCGGAGCCTGACGGGGGCTCCGTTCCAACTCTGTGGCAATACCTTTCCATTTCTGTAAGCCCTTTCTTTGATGAGCACTAAAACACTATGCAAATATTAATCTACCATGATTTGCAATATCCTGCCAGGTAAGTACTGCAGAACCTGTTCTACATCTGGAGAACAGCAATGCCCATATGAAGCTGCTTACACAGAGGTCATGGGACGCATTTCCTTTAAGCTTTTTCTCCCTTAATCCAAAACTTGTCATCCACTCAACCCTTTTTTTTTTTTTCTCTCTGTCTTCTCTCCTCATTTTTAGGATGTGAAATAACATAACCCAAGTCTTGCTGAGCTCTAGGGAAGCTTGGATAAGGGTCAAGTCTTAACTTGAGCTACACCTAGCAAAGAAGGAGGCCCTCCACGGACCTGCTACCTGCACACTGAGCAGGATTGTGCATCTCCACCTCTCTCCTTCAGTACCTGAAATAAATGTTTAAAAATGACATGCAGAGAACAGCTGCAAAATGAGCCTCTTAAACCTGCACATTGCATCTCCCAGAGCTGCTACTTTCCCCTGCCATCACACAAACTTGCCCAAGGCTGATGCCTCTTTATGTGCTCCCCCATCGACTGTAATTCTTATCCAGCATTATCTTATCTTGAGCTATTACAGTGCAAAATGCTACATTACTTCCTAACTGCCTGGAGCTAGCTCAGCCAGTTCTCCTCATTAAATTACAGCCACTGCAGGAAGAAGTGGGGCAGGTCAACCCTCATGGGCTGTGATTTTTGGCCAAACGGTTTATGCAGTGGACCACATGAAATGCTACCACTGCAGTGTACAGCTCTGGGCAGGGGCCTTGAGAAGAGGAGAGCATGGATACAACATCTTTGAGCATAAAAACATCTACTTTATCAAGATATTTCTTTACCTAACAAAAAATACTCTCCTTAATACTCCCTTACTCTCCCAATACTCCCTTAATTCGGTAGCACTGATCTTTAATGATGCACTGATTGGCCAATGTGGCCAAAACACCTAAGAAGGAAGGAATTCACCTTTCCTAAATTCATTGGAGACCTCTCTGCTCACCAGAAACAGGAGGAGATGCCCAAGAATTTCTTTTCTGACCCAAGACAAGGGATGGCTTTACCTGGAACACTGTGAGGATGGCAGCTGGAAAAGTATCGAAATTCGTGGTTGGTGTTTCGTCTCTAAAATTGAACCTAGAGGAAGAATCAGAAATAAAAACAATAGCAATAAGGGAACAAGCAAATCTCCTGCAGTCCTGTAATTTGCTGTAACCTGAGTCAGAGACCAGCATTGGTTTCATCCCAAGGACTGCAGTGGAGAACGTGACATCATTGAGAAGATGGCTAACAGAGCCATGAGCAGAAACTAAATTTGGATCTGGAGAAAAACTGGCTCTTCAGAATTAATTATATCCTAAATTCAAATGGACAATGAAAAGATAAAACCATTTTGCAGAACAAGCCATTCCAAGAAGCCTTAGCCCATAGGTGTAAAGTCAAAATTGAAATTGCCTGCCCCTTCTCAGCAGAAAGATTGGTGCATGTACCATTGGAGTCAGATGTTCCTGCCCTGCTGCCCCTCTCCTTTTGTGCATTTCAAGTGATTGGAAGCACAGTGATTAATTAGACTTACTGCCCTCCAAAGAGCTGCATCCCCAGCAGAGCAAACACCACAATGAAGAGGAACAGCAGAAAGAGCAAACTGATGATGGACTTCATGGAGTTCAGCAAGGAGACCACGAGGTTCCTCAGGGAATTCCAGTATCTGTGTAGGAGATCAGAGCACAGAAACCATTAGCGGCAGAAGAGCCTTCAGTTTAGAAATTAATTAGATCCACTCTTTAATTAAAAATAACTCTAAAAAATGGACAGCAAGGGCTGTTGGCATCTTTAATCTCCCCCTGCCAACGTAATTGAGAAATACATTGAGTTCAAGAATGAGGATTTTTGAGGCAGGAATTTTTCCCAAACTCCTTTTGTTTTCCTCTTCTTCCTCTCCCCTGCTGCAGCTGGGAGGACCGAAGCGCCCCACACTGCTCTGGGATCCATGCACCCATTCCAAGAGAAGTTATGTTCATAACACAATGACTGCAGGTTTCAGGGGATATGTTGGTCTCATTGTGGAATATCTTCACTTTTGAAAGACAAAACCAAATCTCTCCTTGGAGGAGGAGGAGGAGGATAGAGCCCTTGGTCACAAGGGTTTTGCCCTGCTTGGTGCAATGCCTTCAGGCAAAATCTGCTTCCAGCACCATCTCACTGTTAACCCCACCGAAGCAGCTCCAGCTCATCCCAGAATAGCTCAACACCAAACCCTGAACGATTACAGAGCACCAGGACATAACGAGGGGCTGCATTTCTGCAGCTGCCAGTCCCCATTAACTTCAAACATGACAAAGGGGAAAACATGTCGAGCTGTCCTCTCCTTGTCTTCCTTTCTGAATTTTAGTCCCTCTTGGGCTGTGCTCCTCTTAGTGCATCCTGGTGTCACCGTTGGGACTGACGCAATTTAGCTTTTAACTTTCACATCACTCTGCCATCAGCAGTCACACTGATTTGGGCCGTAGGAATCAAAAGCCCTAATAGCAATTCTCCAAATCAAGGTGGACTGTCATCTTCAGCTAAAGACAGAGGCGAGGAGCCTTGGCCTGTGGCAGCGGGGTTGGAACTTGACGATCCTTGAGGTCCCTTCCAACCCAAGCCATTCTATGATTCTATATGAAAAATGGGGGGTGAAGGGAAAGGCAACTGCTTGGGATCAGGATGTTTCCACCAGGAGAAATCTCCTTAATAAGGCCAAGGGAGTTTCTGCATCAGTGGGGTGAAAATCTGACTTGCTGCCCTGAGAGTGAGAGATTGCTCAGCCTGTTTCATGACTGCTTTGTCAAGTTAAACCTCAGGCTTCAGCTCTTTGCTACAGCAGCTCAAATCCTGAATAGTCACAACAGGCAAAAGGATCGTTTTACCCTGCAAAAATGTCCAAATTTTTAAAAAAGCACAACATACAATCAGATACATTCTATCTCTGTAGCTCCGCCGACAATTAATTGCTAAAAATTTGCCACAAAATGTGCCTCTTTCAATAAGTAAGATTAGAGTGGAGGTAGACTAAGTGACGTTTTTAGGGCAAGATCCCACTTCTTTTACTGGACATTTACAGCACTTCATGTTCCCAACTCCCACAGTGCCTCCAATGGCACACTGTCATACAGAGATTTTGAGTCTTCGTGATGATTGGCATCAGATATAAACTGTCAAATTCTCCAGTTAACAAAAACCATGCATGGGAATAGCCAGAAAATACCTGCTTACTTCAACCTGCTCTTTTACTGTCAATGAAGGCAATGGTGTAGGTGGAAAAACAACAGCAGGAGCACCCAAATATTTCATCCCATCCCACAGCACTGTTTTAAAACAGAGAAATTGCTCCTGGTGGGTTTGCAAGTTGCACAGCAGCTGTTGCTAATGGCAGCACATATTAACACAACACAAGAGCACGAAGACAACAGAGAAGCTGGAGCAACCCAACTCCAGTCAACGTTCACATTTACAGGCTCCAGAGCGAAACCTCAGACATCCCCAGAGCAGACAGAGCAGAGACAGCAGCAATGCACTTACATTCATGTCAGCACCGTGGTTTGAGCATCAGAATTTACTATCTGGCAGTAGCCAGAGCTCATCTCAGTAGATCTAAATCCTTAAATACTATCAGCAGCAGATAAGGGCAGCAGGCACTTATTGAGAGTCTTGTTTTATGCAAGTTTAACAAATAATGAAGTAAAGCTGGATGCAGCTGCCCCAAGCAGAATGGTTTCAAACTACAAGAGGGGAGATTTAGACTGGGTGTAAGGAAGAAGTGTTTCACACTCAGGGCAATGAAGCACTGCACAGGTTGCACAGAGAGGTGCTGGTGCCCCATCCCTGCAGACAGTCAAGGTCAGGCTGGATGGGGCACTGATGGAGCTGTAGATCATAGAATTATTGAGATTGGAAAAGACCACTAAGATCATCTTAGTCCAAGCCCAGCCCATCCACACCTACAAACCTGCACAGAAAGGTGTGGAAAAAGCTGTTAAAAGTCCTCAAAGGTGCAGCTTTCTAAGAACAGCCTACCAGAAGCTCAGACTGACCAACCAAAGGAAGGACAATTCTACACCTGCAGCTCTCTTCTTTCCCTTACCCACGGGGTGACTTTGCACGGTGCCTAAGGTGAGTGAAACAGGAGCTGGACTTACTTGGTGACTTTGAAAATCCGCAGCAGCCGCAGAGCTCTCAGCACACTGATGCCAAACGAGGTACCAGGTTTCACTGCAGCCCAGATGACTTCAAAGATGCTTCCCACAATGACCTGGAAGAGGAGCTCATTTTACAGAAGGGAAAACGTCTGCTTAGATCCTTGTGGCGCTGCCAGAGAGGCTGGGGGCTAAAGAAGAGTCAAAAGTTGGGGCTATGATGGTTTTCCAATGAAGGTTTCAGTGTAATTTTGCAAAATTGTGAATTAGCCAGCAGCAATGTAAGAGGGGTTTGGTTCTAACTTTCTGCAGTCCAATCCAAAAAGGAGCAATATCTAGACTGGCATATAGTGGGAACTCTCTTCTTTCTTCTCTAGCAAGTCAATTACTTCAAAATAGCCTTTTTTAGAGGACACAAGACTTTGTCACTACTATAACTTATAATTTACATAACTGTAAGTGTACAGATATTTCACTTGCCTACCCTGCATGGTCCAGGCAGCCCTCAGAGGCGTGGGGACATCGCCCCATCTGCCTCATCCCATTAGAAAAGCACCATGGCTGCATCCCAGAGCTGCAGAACAGCCAAGTGTTAGCTCCTCACTGAATGCCCAGACTCTCCTGGCCACTGAGTCTTTGGGAGAGTGATTAAGATAATGGCTACAAGGAGACCCTAAAGAGTCTCTCATGTGCACATCCATCATCTGCTTCAGGTTATGCAAAATAAATTGTCCTCAGTCAAGGGGGTTGGTTTTGTTTCTAATTTTTGCCCATTTGTCTTAAGGTTCACAGAGCATTAACCTGAACGGATAAACACTGTTGTTTTGGCTTTTTTTTTCCCCTGAAATCCCCTATTACAAAAAGGACAAAATAATAATGGGCTAAGCACAATCGGGAAAGGGCAATTATATCAACACGGGTTACTGCATGGTTAATTAGAGAGGATGGGCATTTCTCTGCTGATAGCTATCATTAGCTGCATTAAGCTGGCATTTCAGAGCTCACACAGACCGTGGTCCCACGGCATGAAGCACGCCATAAACATGCTATGAGCAGCCCCAGGGAGCAGCTCAGGCCTTTGTGCACGGCAGCAGCAGAGCAGTGCTGGGGACCTGCGCAGCGCCGTGGCACTCAGCAGCTTGCAAACCATTTCAACAAGCAGGAGCCTGTCTGTCTTTTGAAAAACACAGCAGGACCTGCAGCTGCTCTGCAAGAAACACGGTACCCTGAGCTTCAAGGAAACACAGTGGGAAAAGGGGAACAAACAGCAGTTGCTCAGCCGGTGGCTCCCATTACAAAAGGAAGGAATTAAGATTCCTCTCCCACTGCCTATTCCTCTTGGGAATCCCTCGTGAATCAGCAAAAGCCTTTCCTCAGGCACTCCACGCATTACACTGATCATTAACTTCCCTGGCATCTCAGCAGGGCCTCTTGGGGGCAGCTGCACATGAGACCCCGCTGGACCGTTTCTCCCAAGACTGATGTTGATCTGTTTTGTTGTTTCTCTCTTTGCTTTTGAACTGTTCTATCAGGATGGTTTGTCAGACTAAACTGGTTTCAGATGTCCCAGTGTGGGTGCAGGAGCCAAATTAGTTCTGGGGGGTGGAAGGTGGGTGAGGAGAAAAACACAGACAGAAGTAAGATCCCAGCGGGTTCTCTAAAGGATGGAGAATTAGGAACCTATCAACAGCTTTGCCTCCTGGGAAACCCTCTGCAGAGCTCAATGCCAGTGCTGCACTCACTGTAGCACGGCAGAAAGCAGAGAGGCCTGGTGGATTTATCTCATATTGATGTCAAGCTCCTGTATCACCTGAGCTTGAGCGGCAGGAACAAGTTTATCTTGAAACACAGAGCATTCTGGATGCAAGAATCCACACCAGCTATCTTACACTAACCAGGTTATTTCTGCACTGGTTTCATTCCATGGTTGGCTGTGCACTACTGGGCCATACAGACAGAAAGGTCTGCACAGCACATTTCATGGCCCTGATCCACTGTCAGCTGCTGTAAACACCTGGGGAGAAAGTCCCACATGGAGGGATTGGGTGCAGCCAAACCAACCTCAGCCTCTTGGACACAGATGGCTCCTGGGTTTGATCTCAAGGGCTGTTCAGCTCTGGGCGTTCACAGCGATGCTGCCAAAAAGGGACTGTGGTAGCTCTACTGTAGAGTCTGTGCTTCAGCCCTAAATGGATCTGAGTTGCAGCTTTCCTGTATTATGTGTTCAGGCTTCAGGGCACTCGTGTCTGAAAAGCACTGCCTATGTATCTTGAGGTAACGGCCATGGAAAGGATGATAGGGAGATGAGCAGTAAGATGTGTGGTTGGTTTTTTTTTAAAATCTTTCAATCACTTCATTTGAATAGGAGAGAGACTCTCCCATTAATCGGAGCACTTACTGATGCTGTGAACAGCCTGTAACTCACTGAGGAAATGAAACCCTCGACTGTCACATTTCTTCAAGAGGAATGATAACCAGGGGAGCCTTAATGTGTTTCCCTGCAGCTAATTTATATGACAACCACTCCCTGGCAAAGACACCCTGTTGGCACCACTTCCCATACTCACCCTGAAATGCCCAGCCCTATTCAATCAGGGGGACCACGCAGCTGAAGCCTACTCACCCCAAAGTCAAAGCAGTTGAATGAGGAATGAAAGTAATTTCTTGGTCCCAGTCCATACATCTTCAAAGACATCTCAGTAAGGAACAGACCCAGAAAAACAAACTCGGCGAAATCTAGGAACCAGAGAAGAGATGACATTAGTCCACGAGACCTCAGTGGGCAGATCTCTTCATGCAGGGAACAGCAGTCATTCTTCACAGTGCAGACTTGCTCCTGCTGGAAGAAAATCCCTTTGCAAAAGCCAACACGACCCTGAGGAGAGTTTCACATGGTTATGTCTATATGCACATGAGCTGCACTCAGACTTGAGGAGCTGGGAGGTCAGTGTTGCACGTGTATTGTACATGTATATAAGCATTAAATAATACTCTCAATCTCTCTGCAAAGGAATTTCAAAGGGAAAGTTCTGGATCTAAAATTCCCAAAGGTCTGATTTAATTGCACAGACAAGGTTTGCAAATGCGTGCTGGGGACGTCCATGCATATTTTGGGAGCGGGGTGTGAGCTTTTATAACGTTCTCTCATGATAAAAATACCTCCCTACCCAGAGCTGCTGCCTCTGCGAGCTCAGGCTCAGAGGTGTTGGGTCTGCTGTTAGCTTTGATTCCTATTACGCCTGCACAACCACAGCTCTGCAAGAGCAAGTTCAGTTTCCTCCTGCCTCGCATATCACAGGCAAAAGGCTGCCATGATTTTGGTGGGAAAATGTATCAGATCTGATGAAACAAAGGGCAGAAAGAACGTATTTGGAGTTTTCTATTTCCATGACAGGTTTTTAGGACTTGAAGCTATAGGAAACATTGTGTTCGGTGCTATAAGTTCCCAAAGTTAGATGGGGAATCCAAGGAGCAGCAGCAACAATGGAATATTATTAAAAACCAAATATTGAAAGGGTAAAAATCCCCTCAGTGCTTCCAAAACAAACCTAACAGCATATAGTAAACCTCTGCCTATAGAGAAACACTGACAGAAAGAGTCAGACTTCAGAAGGCAGAGAGCAGGGGTGTTGCTTAAAGCAGCACAGACTTTCTCCCATGCTGCAAGGAAGGCTTCTCCTCTAATTCAAGTTTCATGATTCCAGAAGTAGTACTGAGATGGCACCAAGCTTTTCTCAAAGGTGCACGCTGACAGCAAAGTGGCAATGGATGCACTTTGCAGCGAGGAATATTTCACTTAAGAAATCCCAAATCCTGGGTGTTTTGTACACCTGGAATGCGTGGCTTCAGCCAACACGCATGGGGAAAGAGAAGGGAGAGCAGCAGGCTCCTTTGTTCAGTTCTCTGCCTTGCACATTTCTCCTAAGTGCTTTTGGCCTGGGTTCATCTCACATCGCTGCTTGTCTTGTGCAATTGCCTGAAAAATACAGCTTCAATTATCAAAAAATAAAAAGGGGTTTTACATTTTAAATCAAAAGAAGCCATGAAATAGCATGGGCACGATGTTAACTGAAATCCAGGAAGCACCAGCTAGATGAGAGTGGTTTTATTAATGCTTCAGCAGGGAGCCTACAAGGGCACTTCTGCCAACATTTACAGTAAGGGAGGGAACATCATGAGGGCATTAACTATGTACACCGTGCAACAGACTCCTTGAAACTAGGAGTAATAGCCTTAAAGGAGACTGCCAAGGGCAAAACATTTAGACTTGAAGAATAAGATGGCAAAATGTGAAGTGTGCAGACTTCTCAGCCCTTTTCCTACCACTGGTAGGCTCCACTGGTTGGATCTTCATGCTCACAGAGCATCAAGATGGCATGGAGATGAAGGAACAGCTCTTCTGCCTTCCCCTTAATGCACGGAACCTGCTTGGAGAAACACCTGCTACATCATGTCTCCATTCTTCTCCCCTTCCTGGCAGCAAAAAGGCATTTACAACACAAGGGATCCCAGTGGCAATCATCCAGTTACACTGGCAATATATCTCACAGTCCAATTGCAGAGGGCAAGGAAGGGAGCAGATGAACCAAATCTCAAGCATGACACGAGACACCAACAAGATAAGAATACAGAACTGAAGCAAAACCAAAACAACACATTCAATGGTAACAAAATTTCCTGAACACAATTAAAAAGACTGCAAACAGCATGGATGTTTAAATTCTTAACTGTTAATAGCTGAGCCTCTAAATAAGATGCTTAGACTGTAGTTTCCAAGCCGGACTCTAAAATTCCATCCTGCACTTCCATTCTGCATCCTGTAGACTTCGGAAATGGTAATTAACAAGAGGCAAAACTCCCTTAGCAAAGCAAATGCATCTTCCCTGGGTGAGGAAGAATTGATGCTGCTCCTCTCACCTATTCTGCTCATTAGCCCAGAGGGAAATCTTGCAGCAGTGTTTATGCTGTTTACGGAGTTGCTCCCTTGCAGGGAAGTTACCTCTTGTGTCTTAGGTTTCATGCTCAGCAGAGCTCAGCATGGTGTTTATTTGAATGACTTCAATGCAAAGTCCCCCTATCGTGAAGACTGACGTCAAACCCATGCCTTGAAACTGGTGGCCATGCTGGCAGACCAAACTTAGAACCTTTGCAAGAGGTTGCAGAGAGGCCCACAGAAAGCACTGCACAGCCTCCACATGCTTTTTGTGCCTCCCCTTTGTAGGGAGTTTCTCATGCTATTTATCCACCAGACCCAATTACCTTTCAGGTAGGCCCAGTATTGTTTCACAAAATAATGAAAATACTAGGTAGAATTTTAATTGCAATTTTCACCATCAGGTCTCAGTGCACTTTGCCAAAATAACAGCAATCATTTCATAAGAAGGGAAAGGAGGGAGGAAATAAGGACTAATAGTCCATCACCCATCCACTGAAGCATGAACAAAAAAACAGGCATTACCCAGTGCCACGTTTCATCATTGGAGTGACACATCCGCTGCTCACACACATGCAAGACCAATTATTACGGGAGAAAATCAGCCAGCAAAAGGCCAAAGTAAAAGAGATTCAAACAATATTTGATATAAAACACAGGAAACTCAAAATATCCAAGAAACAACTTCCTTCTGTCACTCTTGAAAGAAGAGCCCATCTCATTCTTTCACAGCTGCTGACTTCTATCTGGAGCAGAGCTCAAAACAGGCAGGATAGCTGTATTTCACCACACACCACAGCAATGGGAGGACAGGGGATGGAGGAAACTCACGTGGTGAGTTCCTTGGACACAAAGAATTCACTCGCAGTGCATCAGCTTCTCCAGCTGACAGATCAGATACGTGATTCCTTCTGACGTGGCCCTGCCCATTTAATTGAAAATGCAATTTTGTTGTTTGGACCTCCTGGTGTTCAGACCCCACAAGTAATTTAATCTGCCTTAAACAGAAGCATTTTGTAATGAAATTTTAGTTTAAAAGTTTGATATTAAGATTCTCATTTAATTAAAGATTTGTACCACTGGCAAAGGCCACGCTAGTATCTTTTTGCCCCAAACTTTTGAGTTAGATATTCAGCAGCTCCTTTTTGTCAGTCTCCAATGGATTAATTCCATTTCTGCCCTGGATCAATCCAAGTCTTGTGTCATTAAGAGCAGGTGTCAAGCCTGCCACTTCTGTTTTCTCTTTCTCCTTGTACATTAAACCAACCAGGAGGAGAACCTCAGTGAATTACAACTTCTCCCTCTGACAAGGCAGACGTGAAATGTTCAGCAGACATAAATAAATATGCTCGTTTGAGAAAGCCTTTTCTTTGCAACCACACATGCTGCATATTTATATCCAGAGGGAGCCGGCTATCTACTTCAAAGGCAAACACAATATCATCAACAAGGCATAATTGCATCAAACACGGGGTTCAACACAGCACAGCACACTGAGAAGCTGTTCTCAAGCTGTAACGTCTAAAACACTGTCTTCCAATATTGTGCTCTTCAGAATGGAGGCATTATAGAACTCATTTTTAGACAAATTGAGGAGCAAGATCCCCGCAGCATTAGCCAGAGAAATCCAGAGAGAGTTGCTGCATGGAGGGCAGCCACAGGCAAAGAGAAGTCTGGTGAGAAGGCTCCCTCCTCCCGTGGGAAAACTTACTGATTTAATCCAAAATCCTTCTCACCACAGTTCCTAAAATCTGATTTGGGGACACCAGGGAGCTCCAGGTCCTTCACCCCTGGAGGTGCCCAAGGCCAGGTTGGATGGGGCCCTGGGCAGCCTGATCTGCTAGGGGGCAACCAGTCCATGACAGGGGTCAGGACTGGATATCTTGAGGTTACCTCCAACCCAGCCATTCCATGACTCTGTGATCTGCACTATGTGCCCGCATTACAGATTTTATATTTTGTCATCCTTATTGATGAAGATGCATCTTTTCTGCAACTAGACTTCAAGTGATGCTTGTCTGTGCTGGATTATAGAGTTTCTTTCTGTCACAATTCTCTTGGTGGAAATGAGTGCAAGCAAATGACCATGGCATGTTTTATGGGAGATAGCCTTCTACAGGGAACTGAAAACTGCTTAATTGATAGTCCATGCTCTGTGGAAAGGCACATGCCATGTATGATTGTGCAGTATAAGAAAACTTACTGCAGCGTGGCACTGAAGTCATTCCCATACAGGGAAGGAAAACTTCCAATTTAATTTGGAGATAACCATGAGGGCATGAAGTATGTCCTGTTATTCACCATACCTCAAGAATACCAGAAATTTCTCATCAGGGTGAATAGCCTGCTCTTACAATAAGACTAAAGAAATTCCAAGTCCCTTCATAAAGCTCCTGCTGTTCCCATTTCAAAGCAGTTGCAGCAACATGGAATATCAAGTAGAGAAAGCTAATCAGAACAACTCAACAGCAGAAAAGTTAAAAGAAAAGACCACAGGAAAAATAAATCAATGCATACCTGCAAGGTTTAAACCCACCGTTCTTTAAGTAAAATTAATCTGTAACGTAATTAAACGTTCCCCCAGAGGAACAGGTATAATTGAATTAGAGGTGCTTGGTGGAGTTGCAGGGTTTAACAGATCTTCTCAGCCTTCACCACACTCCTCTCCTTCTGCCACAGCTCACACAGCTCCTCACTGGCCCATTTCTGAGCACCTTCCAGAGAGCAACTTCATTAGCGTTGGCCGCTTCAATCGCTCTGCACCACATCAGCCAAGCCCTGCTCCTCTGCAGTGAGACTCCCTCACCATGGATTAACTCTAAAGCCACTCCTAGACTGTGTCACTTGTACAGTTAAAGGATTTGGCCAAGTACTTCCAGAAGCTATTTAAAATCCCCTGGTTTTGTAATATCCTGCTCTGCCTGTATCTAAAGGATCTGTGAACAAGCCTTGGGCAGAAGAGTGCTTTCAAGGAGCACTCCTCAAGAGCTGAACTGCAGATGGGCTTGTTCACAAATATGTTTGGTGCCAGGTTAACGAGGGTGGCTGTGGTCATTGTACACAGGCAAGAGAGGAGTCAAGCCCAGTCTTACCATGAAAGCAATAATGAGAAAACCAGTTAGTCCACACATGACCCAGTGTAACTTAGGGCATAAAATTCCTTGTACTCAACAACAGATTAGCAGAAAAGATTGTGCCAAAAAAAACCAATAACACCCCCCATGAAGTTGAGAACAACTCAATAGCAACACTTGCTCTCGGGTGGGTAGTAACATTGAATCCCAGAATGTCTTGGGTTGGAAGGAACCTCACAGACCATCCAGTTCCAACCTGGTCCCATGGGCAGGGCTGCCAAACATTAAATCGGACATCAGATGAGGCTGCCCAGAGCCCCATCCAACCTTTCAGAGCACCCACAACTTCTCCAGGCAGCAGTATCCTGGCATCAAGAAATTAAAGTATGCCACACACATTTTTCTGAATGTAATTCGCAAGTTGGACATTAGGAAAATTTCACAGCTCCTGACAGATGGACCCACCCCAGTCCCTGATTCGAGGTACAACACAGTTTCAACACTCCCTTCTTCCTGTCTGCAGCTGAGGTTGGTCGGGAGCCTAATTAATGGCTGCTGTACCAAATACAATTCCCACCTGGAGGGAATTTCATTATAACCAACGCAACACTAGCAGCTCCAGATGAACATCAAGCAGAAGTTGCTGGCTCACAACTTTCTTAATGTCCTCTTAGAAATGTTACTGCGTCAGGCGCTCCCAGAAGAGTGCTTGGAAATCTGTACTCTTCCTTTTCAAGCTGAAATTCTTAAAGTGTTACTTTTTTCCAGATATTTAGTCGTAATTCAAAAATCCTAAGCTTCACTCTGCTAATTACTCTGCCAATCTAGCTTTCCAATGTTAAATTTGGGAAATGAATAAGTGAGACTGATATCTCTGTGTGGTCTGTCTTTTCAGTCTAAATCTTGCAAGAGAAACAGTTGAAAGGAGCTTCTGTCCTCCTTACACATTTCATTATAACTTCAGTTACCTGTCTGTATTAAATATTTCAGCAAACATTAATAGTGTGTTTTTTGAAGTCGGAGCCGCTAGTATTCCTGACCCCTTAGCTCTAAAAAAGAAAAACTTCAAAAGTTTGCTCCTTTATAATAATGTAAGACCTGAAGGTGTGGGTCTAGAAATATTTGAGTATGTAATTTACATAGAAATCAATGAAAATTAGGTAGATAAGTAACTTTAATGATCTAAGCCACACTTATTAAGCCAGACTGTTTGAAATATTTTTTCCCCTAGCCTTTTTTCTCACTTTAGAAGTTTTACTCATACTCTCAACTTGCCCCATCTGAATAAAGATGTGTTTCTAGCTGTTTGACAGACTCAGAGATGGCTGATTTTATAGCTCTGCCTTCCAGAAACAAACCTTCCATCCCCTGCCTTCCCAAAGCAAAGCTCATGGAGTCCCACTCCCAGTGTTATCCCATTCTGACCCAATATACTCAAACGCATTTTCCAGCTCCAATAGTCACAGCCTGCAATCTTCATTAAAATAGAAGCTCAATTCACCATACTCCACTTCTTTTTTTAACAAAAGGCTTCATGAGCAACTCTGCAACCTCAGCGTAACACCACAACGTGTGCATCCACTGATTTTCTATCACCAGACAGAACTATTGGCAATTAAAAAAAATAACAAATCGTCCTTCAAAAGAACCTGTAACTATCTGAAGCCTTATACTGATGGGTGACCACACGAAACAAGCTAAAAATAAAGCTTTATCACGAGTGTAATAAATCCACTCTATGGTATTATTTGTACCTCTACTCCACGTACTTTCACAGAAGGGCATCCTGAGGTTTATCCATTTATTTAAGGAAGACACAATTATCAAAAAAGCTCTTCCATAAAGTTGCAACCACTTAAGGAATATAGAAGTAATTGCTAAAAGCACAATAAATTAGCATATGATTCTGCATACACTGTATACAGATGTTTTTTCCTCCCTGATAGCCTTGGTGATGGCACACATGGTCATCCCAGCACTGACAGAGCTTTGGATTTGTCCAAAATAGAAATACCCATGGATGCAGATCAGCTGCAGAGTGGGACAAATTCTGCCATTCCTCCTACAGAGCAAACCTTCCTCTGACATCACCAGATTAAGATGTGGTTGAATCACATGGTTGAGTTTCAGGCACAGTTTAAGATTACATTCCCACATCATCCCAAACCATGAGATGAGACAACTGACGCAGGCTTTCTCTGAAAGACTCAATGAAAACATGACTCAATGAAACATGACTCAACGAACCTACTAGAGCAATTCATTAATGCATTTGCCTCCCTACTCTAGGGAGACCTGGGAAGCCACAAACAGACCTCATGTGGATGCGACACCAGTGCCGTGAGCAGCCAAAACACAAGACCCAGGGAGGAAAGGTGCAGGAGAAGCCCCTGGTACTCACACAGAGCAGTGGTGAGTTTCTCTGGCTGATCATAGTGCACCATCGCGACGCAGAGCGTGTTGAGGGCAACCACGCAGAGCACGATCCAGTAGAAGCTCTGGGCTTTCACCATGCGCCGGATGAAGAAGCGGAACATTTTCTCTTTCCTTCTGAAGTAGGATGAGCTCTCATTCTTCCCACTCTTCAAACTGGCACGGGCAAAAGGAGACCCTGGGCAGTGAGGCATAGAAAGAAGAGTCACCACAGCACATTCAGGCAGGAAAAAGGTCAGAGGATGCCTATGGGCACACAGACCCACTCCTGAGAACCAGGCTGAGCACAAGGCTGGGCACAATGAGAATGGACCGAGCACAGGCATCTCGCTTGCAATGACTCTGCAAGGGACGACGATTTTAGAACTTGGTGGCTTAATACTCAGTTCCACCATCAGTGGGAAGTGGCCTCCCAACTCCGTGAAGCTATCCTGAATGTCCCAGCTGAACTCACAACCTTTAGGATCCCAAGTGACTGCAGCAACAAGGTGTTGGGCATGGTGATGGGTTGGGTGGTTGGGTTGAGCATGGTGGATGTGCATGGAGCACATCCCCTTGGAGCTGTGCAGCTGCCAGCAGGTCCATACACCCCCACTCAGAGCACCAGCACAGCCAAGCCCTTATTACCATACTGAGTCTCCTTATTTTACTCTGATTTCACATCTCTCTGCAGCAGAAGGCTCAATCTGCCTCCACGCATCATGTTTTGGGCACAGCTTCTCATTTTGTATCCATTCTGCCTTTATCAGCTACATTTCAAGTCTGCTCTGAAACCCTGGAAGAAAATCAAATGTTTTAATAGTAGCAAGCTGACAGAGGAAACAATTCCTATTGTCAGCTCTCCTCCTGAGGTAGAAGCACTGTTGAAAGGAGTGATGGAAAAGCAATCTCTGGTCAGGGCAGAGCACGTGCATCTGTGAGAGTTCTTCCGCAACAGCTACAAATGCTGTTGCAAGCAGGGTACTGGTGATGGCCACAGGCTCTCTGCTACCTGCATCACACTGTGTTCACACTCCTCTGGTTGCAAACCTTGTATCTTGGCAGTTTAAGGTGAAGCAGCGTGCTGCTGGCCTTCGCTGTCATTGGCTGTTGCCTCCCAGGGGGTAGGACTGGCCAGGACACACACTGCCATGCTTGGACCGAGCACCGTGACAGCAGGTGACCCGCACTGACTCTCCTTGGAGATGGCTGAGTTACACGAACAAAATGTTCTGGCTATGGCAGCCAAGTGATCCGAGTGCACTCGTAGGCATTTCAACACCTCCAGTGATGGAACGGGTGAGGATCTCACCCTGTGTCATCTTGCAGTAACACCAAACATTGCAGTCATAGACGGGTGGTGACAGCAGGGAGCTGTGCAGCACCACCTCCCTACCAGCAAGCTCTGTGCTCCTTTGCTCAGTTCTGGCCATGCAGCAACATCCAAATGCAGGGCTGCACCTGGCTGAGTTACAAAGCAAATCCCTGCTGGAAAGCTCAGTGGGCTGTTGTTCTATTAGTTTGATAATCTTTTCTTTGTTGGTGTAGAAATTAACTGCAGTAGTGCTCATCTGTTGTTTTAAGGTGATAAAATGAAATACACGTTAAGAAATTTTACTCAGCCCCAGGTGAGGCTGCAGCTCAAATGCTGCACTCTGCGTTGGGACCCTCAGTACAGGAAAGACATGGAGGTTCTGGAGTGTGTCCAGAGACAGGTAATGGGGCTATGATGGGTCTGGAGCACAAGCGTGATGGGGAGCAGCTGAGGGAGCTGGAATGGAGGAGGGAGACTTTATTGCTCTCTACAGTTCTGTGAAAGAAGGTTGTGGCAAGGTGGGGGTCAGCCTCTGCTCCCAAGTAACAGTAACAGGACAAGAGGAAATGGCCTCAAGTTGTGCCAGAGGGGGGTGGGTTCAGGTTGGGTATTAAGAAAAATTTCTTTAGAGAAAGAGTGGGCAAAGGCTGCACAGGGAATGGTGGAATCACCATCCCTGGAGGCATTCCAGAACCATGGAGATGCGACACTGAGCAACACGGTCAGTGGGCATGGGGGGACTGGTTGGGGTTGGACTTGATGATTTTTGGAGATCTCTTCCAACCTTAATGGTTCTATGATTCTGTCTGCCAGGAAAGAATATCAGGCCACGTTGTGTATTTAAATTGATTTAAATGTGGAAAACATCCTCTTTCCTAGAGATGTCTCTAGCACAGCCTAGAGAGTGAGGAGCCAGCACCGACTGCCGCAGGGTGGTTAGTGTGGAGAAAAATCAAAGAGTCAGGAGAAAATGAAAGAATAAATCTTAGGAATAACTCCGGAGAACACACTGGGAAGTGTTTACCGCTATCGAGCTTTATAATGCAATTATAAGGCTCATTGAGGTACTTGTATTTGAATTAAAGTGCAACGTATGCAGGCAACAGCCAGCAAGAGACCTGTCAGCATCTCTGCCCCTCTGGTCTGCATCACCTTGCACTCAGTAATTGCACTGTTAGTTCCTCCACAGTCCTTGTGCTCTCATCAGCAAGACGCGACAGCACAAGGAAACCATCCAAAAAAATGATAAAAATCTTTGTTCAAAAACATATTCCTCATGCAAAATCACCCATATGATCTGTTTGTTTATGTTACGAAGCTTCAGTTTTTCCAGAGGCTGCAGAAGGATCTGCTTGCTTTATCCACTTCTTTTCCGACTTGTTCCGTGAATCGGAATCAAACCCACTTTTCCCCAGTGGATGAACCGCGCGCAGGAGGTGGAAAACACTGCTGTTATTTTCCCTGCCATATGCTCCAGAGACAGTTCCCAGCTCTGCACCAGATTATGCACGAGCCCAGATGCTCTGTCATCCGCTGCCACCTGAAAGGCTGAACAAGAGATCTGTTTGGATGGCATGGGTGCCCAATGCCTGGAGGGACTTGGATGTGGCTGCAAAGATCTCGTAACGGTTGCAGCCATCAACAAATGCTCCAGAAATGACCACTGCTTGTTATCCATGCAGGGATCCGAGCAGCTCAGAAAGAAAACAAAACAAAAATCACACACGGCTGCTGCAGTTTTGCCTTCCTTCATCAGCTTCTCTCATAAGATTGTCAGCAGTTTGGCCATAAAACCCCGTAGCAGTTCAGCAGAGGATGATGGTGTCAGGAACATGCAGAGCAATGCTCATTTACAGTGAGCAGGTCTTCATTTAAACAGGGAAAAAAAAAAATCCAGCAGCAGCTGTGATCTTCTAAAAGGTTAATGCCAAATTTCCAAAGAGTATTTGAGGCACTCATGCTTGCAAGCATACATGGACATGTACTCTCAAGTGTACTGTTTGTGCTGCTACCCTTATGCATCCAGGATTTGCTGCTTCGTGGTATCTGGGGTGCCAAGACATTTCTTTGGAAGATAATGAGAACATCTGCTACTTCAGCAGCAAAACAAAATACAGACTCAAAGAACAGGGAGAGGAGTAAGCAAAACAACTCCAAAGCAGGCAGGGAGATGTCTCTCCAGCCAGCAAGGAAAAGCCACAACTGACAGATGCCCACAGAGCTCCCTTTCTCTGGAGTGCCAGGAGCTCCCACACAGACCCCCACTGGCCTTCCCTGGTAGTGCCTGAGTGGGACCTGGCTGCCCAATAATTTGCAGGACAAGTAGGACCACAGGAGCCTGACACACTTGTGTTCTCTGGAACTGAAGCGTTTTGGGTAGGACAAGAGGTTTTGACAGAACAAGAGATAATGGCCTCAGGTTGCACCAGGAGAAGTTCAGGTTGGATACTAGGAAAGATTTCTTCTCAGAAAGGGTGGTAATGCATTGGCACAGGCTGCACAGGGGGGAGGTGGAGTCATCATCCTTGAAGATGTTCAAAAACCACAGAGATGTGGCACTGAGGGACGTGGTCAGCGGGCATGGTGAGGATGGACTTGGTGATCTTAGAGGTCATTTCCACCTCAGTGATTCTATGATTCTATACCAAATTTGCAGCAGCAATGGCTAGCTACACAGGATGCCACCCTCTATACTGGAGGTGTGTGGGCAATCACGTATCTGTGCATCACCATATCTGTATTTAGAAACTGGAAAACTCAACTACTAAGGCAAGAATGAGGAGTCGAGGGTCCCTTCCAGCATTTCCCAGTGCCCATTCCTCTTGGCAAATCCACACACTGCTCTGTAGTGGCAGATGTGAGTAAATGCCTGTCCACTTCCTGTCCTCCTCACAACAGCTGAGGCTTAGCGGGAGCGTTTGACGTATTTGGGTTTCATTAGCATGAATGAGTGCGTTCCAAGCAGAACCATGGGGTGCCCAGCAGAGTGTGGTATCTCCAGGCATTTGGGCTCTGTTGGAGGCGCAGCATGCAATAGCATGGCAGCAATGGGAGTGGGTGAAGCTGCAGTGCTTTTGGCTTTGGTAAATTGAGTGATTTCCCTTTCGGAGCCGCTCGGAAGAAACGGGACATGAACGTGTTTTAGTTGAAGGTCTAAACCTGGGGGAATGCGAAGCCAGTACTCACCAACGGAGCAAATGTCTGTGAAATGGTCCTCACCTTCTTCAGCATGAATCAGGTCGTTTTTGCTCTTCTTTATTGCGGCTCTTTTCAACACTGTGTACAAATTAAAGAGAAAATGCCCTGTGAGCTTTCAGAGCAGGTTCTCTCTCCCCCTCCCTTCTCTCTCTCCGTAGCCAGCACTTACTGCCCAACACCAGCTTCAAGCTCTCACACAAGGGCAAGCTGGAGCAAATTGGCCAACCCACAGCCTTGCAGGGCCTCTGCATGCCTCGATGCAGGGCAGTTCTTCACTTAACCTTCTAGATCCTGAAGGCTTGCCAGGCACAGTTCTGCATGCTTTCACAGAAGCAAGAAGATGGGGGGGGGGGGGAGGGGTCACTGCAGCTGCTGGACCTTTTAACGCAGCAGAAAGGCTGGGCAGGGTCACTGAAACTCCCTGAGCCCCCGTGGGTCATGAGATGAGTGCTTCCATCCATTAAAAACATTAATGCTGTTTACAGTGTGCACCATTAAGAAGTTAGCATTTACAGGGCTTGGGTACAGCTTACCGCAGAGCGATGCCTTAAGCAGCGAAAACACTATGGTGAAAGCAACTGCTGCAAATCAGTGCACGCACTCTTAATAGCACCCACTGCACAACCCCTTCCCTCTGGGAACGTCCTAGCTCTTTGAGAACCCATTTTGTTCAACTGCATCTTTTATCTGGAGGGTAAACATCACTGCATCGGTTTACATGAAGGAAGGAGAACCGCAGCCTGAGGCTGGGAGAGGTCTGCACTGCTCACCCAGCACACACGGGGAAATGCAGGATGCTGGGCCCGCCACCACCTACCTGCAAACCTCGAGAACTAGCAGAGAAAAAATACGTCGACACAGTTTTGTCACAGCTTCAAGACATACAGGAACTAAGCACCGCTTGCTATCAGCAGTAAGACACCCCACGGTGTGGTGATACAGACTGGTCAGGAGGCACACACAGCAAGCCCACGCACTCCACAGCGACTGACATGGGGGTGGGTTTGTACAAGAAGACTCTCTCACCCTACACCAATTTCCCTGCCTTGCAAACGGATTCCTTCCTTCACAAATTAGTGCTCATGTCACCTCGAGGGAGCCCCCAGAGCACCTCCCAGGTTCAGAGGCTTGAAGAACAGAGAATGCTCTCCACCCGCTGCTGTAACCTGGATGTCATTTTTACAGATAACTTCTTCTGTTATTTCCTTCCCCACCCAGCAGTAGGGCTGGATCCTCAGTCCCAGCAACATCAGCCTTAGCCTCCTTCAGGCTGCATCTCTGCCATTAAATTCCAGTGTGACCAGGGCCATCCCAGCAGTGGAACATAACCAACCCTGGCAGTGAAAGTTTTACAGCATTCATTGGCATGAAATGAACACCACCTCCTTTACCTTCTTTCCCCTCCCAAAAAATTCTAAATTTAGCAATTAGAGCATACCATAGAATTGTGGAATGCCTTAGATTGCAAGGAACCTCAATGACCATCTAGGCCCAACGTCCCTGCTGCGGGCAGGGTTGCCAACCAACAGATCAGGCTCCAGATCAGGCTGCCCAGGTCTCCATCCAGCCTGGCCTTCAACAGTTCCAGGGATGGGTCCATCCACATCCTCTCTGGGCACCCTGTGCCAGCACCTCATCACCTTCTGTGACAAACTTCGCCTTGGCATCTAATCTACATCTCCCCTCCTTCAGTTTAAAACCATTCCCCATCTCTACAGATACTTTGGATGCAACATTCCCATGTTGGAGGCTGAGACGATTTACTAGCAGAGAGGTGGGCTGCTCCATATCAGTTGCCCTCAAGGCAGGGAAGATGGGCTTAAGCTTACCAGCAGGGATGAAACCTCGGTGTATCTCTGAATTCTACGGCCTGCACCCACCTCTAGTTTGCTTACAGCACTCAACTCTTCATCTCTTCCAGACGCTCATTGCAGCTCAAGACCACAAAGCCTGGCTATACCCACACACCACCGCACACACTCACACACACACACAGAAAGATTTGCCAAGTGCACCTCAGCCCTGACCTCCTTCCAGCCCCAGGTCCTCCCGAGCACAGGTCACACAGCCAAGCCAGCGGCCGGGCATGGATTGCACCGGGAGCCACCGAGCTCAGAGCAAGGAACCAAAGCAGGTGGGAAGCATCACTGGTGACCTGGGCGCTCGGGGCGAGGGGGATGCGCTGCCCCGCTTGTGCCACCTGAGCCCCTGATGATTTGCAATCCACTCACTGTTGTAGCTGCTGCCGCTGCTAGTCTCTGCCGGTGCCGTGCCTTGTTGAATCGGCCCTTCCGAGGCGGCCCTCCCTGACAGTGAATGGGAGGAGAAAAAAAAAGAGGGGGGAAAGGGAGGGGAAGGGAAAGGAGGAGACATGGGAGGACGAAAGATGGTCAGAAAAGGGAGAGGGAAGAGTCTTTAACTGAACTTTGACTGTCGCACCCTAAGAGCTCATCGGTCTCGAGGCACAGGGAGAGCGATCCCCGCATCCTCGCTGCACTGTGTCCAAAGCTCCAGCCGGCCTGACAGCTAGGGTCGCACGTCGGAAGATAGGATCACCACACCCTGTTATGTCTTACTGCTTACAAGTAACAGGGGTCTTAGTCTCTTTGTCACATCCGTTGGAAACTTCGGTTCAGAGCCCTGCCTCCTCTCAGTCAGTGCATTTCTCTCCTGGCATCGCCCTGCAGCCTATCCCCAGGCACAGCCGCCCCCACCGCACTGTGGGCCCCCAGGCAGTGCAGGGACCAACTGACCCCAAGGGCAGATCCCCATCCCAGATTTGGTGTCACATAACTGCTCATCATCCACCTTCGACCTCAAAAAGGCCTGGGAAAAGGGACTCTTTAGCCCAACTTATTCCAAGTGCATGCAAGAGCGTGTTCCTCACACCCTTCTGGTTGCAGCAGAAAGCCATGTCAGCATACAGCAGGTGAATCTCTCGTGTTGCGGGAGGAAAACCACACAGCAAAACAACCTACCGTCCAGAGGAGATTTCTCTTCTGCGTTCTTGTCTTCCTCAGCCAGCATGACTTCCTCTGCAAGGAGAAAAAAAGCCAGGCTCAACCTCAGATTTATCACATCCCCACTCTAAAAACAGATGAGCTGGATGCAGCAGACCTCCATCTCAGCTGCCACCAGCCTTATCCCATTGTATTACCCAGTTACACCAAGCCTGTAGAGGAAGGATGGTTCACAGAGCTGTTTTTCTTACCCTGTGCCCTTCTTGCATAGGGAAGAACCTACACTACCTACAGCATTCCTCCATGATCTTCACAACGAGGCAGTTTCTTCACCAAGCTACCACACACAAGGGATTTCTGCACAGCACGAACACTTTTCCAGCCCCAAGAAAAGCCAAAGCAGGTCCCTCTTGCCCATACATACTGGAGACTCCAAGGAGTGAAAGATATTCTATGGCCATTATTACCACACTTACATCTCCATCAATAAGACCAGGACTTAACCTGGAGGGAAGGGATCCACGTCTCATGGCACAAGGCAACACAAGTGGGGCTGTGCCACATTGCAGGGGACAAAAGTCACCAAACAGCCACTGGATCAAATATTTGTCAAAATAAAATCAATGGCAAGGCTGCCACAGCAGAGTTCAGGCTAGCACAGCTCAAAGCACAACACATGTGAGATGCCACCAGTGACTTTCCATTCCTGTACAGTCTCCAAAATATGAGCTTGTACTTTCCTACACTACAAGAATTTGAAGAGCACTGGAAAAAAAAAGGGAAAAAAAAAGCCCACCACCCCTCAATCAGAAATGACTCATTTCTATCCGCGTGAGAACGACCAAATTTCCCAAGGTTTCACAATGCAAATGTCATCGCCCAAGTCAGTTTGCAGCACACACCACACACTGCACCAACACTTGAAACCTCACAGTTCAGATGGTCTGAACTACAGATTTTAGCTTGCTGCTGTGAAATTATGTAAGGGTTTTCTAAAGGATGATCTGAACTGTATAAAATATTGAATTGGCAGCTGGTGAACTGCATACTTCCTCCTATTATTAAAAATGACAAATTCCACCATGTTTGGCAGAGATGTAATTTAGGATCCTACTAAGAGATCTGACACTGCGTTCCTACGAAACTTTACTCAAAACCCCATTTAAACCAGCCTAGATGGAAGGCTAACTACAGAAATAACAGCAAACCACAGCCAAACATCAAAGTGTGAAGCTAAAAGAGCTGTCTGGAGGAATACTGGAGGGATCGGCACTACCACACAAGTCTTATATAACCTCTTTATTAATCATCTGGGGGAGAAAGAGAATGAATGATACATTAATAAGACAGCAAATTGAGACGGCTGGAAAATAATTTTAAGGGGAGACAAGAAACCTAAGCAGAGGAGAACCAAACAAAATGCAAACTAATGCACCAATGACACAGGAGAGGGAAGGGAATCAGTGGTGCTGGGAGAGGGTTAAAAACATCAACTGAGCTGTCAATCTGCACTTTAAAAGGCATGAAATCATCAAAAAAAACAAAACAAAACAAAACAATATAATTTGTGGGTTTTTTTTTTTCTGGAAAATTCCTTGGTTGGGTTGGACAACGAAAATGGGTTTGTTTTCAGATGGCTCAAGAACCTTCTCTCTCAAAGCTCAAAATCAGAAGGTACTTCTGTAGCCTCACCTAGGGAAAAGCTGCAGTGGTGTTCTGGGGTTAATAACACAGAAAGAGTTAAACAGGATTAATGACAATTAATAACAAACATGGTTGCCTTAAAACAGAAGGGACGCTTAGATAAGATGGCCCCTTCCCAAAGGCAGCCAGACAAAGGGTCTGCAAATGGGATGGACAAACACAAGCTATGCTGTGGGGCTGCTGGGAGCAGAAGCATGGCCATGCAGGTGGTGAGCAATAAAAGTAATGAGCTAGCAAAGGGCAGCAGGTAGGCAGCTTCTCCTTAGGAGCTACACCAGATAAGGGCAGTGCAGGAGGTGCCTTCGTAAGGAAGATCTCAGCCAGACCTGGCATGCTTGCTGGTCAGTGCTCTGAGAGTTGCTTCCATCACATCATGTTAACAGTTATTTCCTGTGCTGCAGCAAAGAAAGAGCCTGTTGCTTAGGTGGAGACTCAATACTGCACCAGAATGGCACATACCAGTTGGACCTGAGAATTTGCAAGTAACAGTTTGACATCAGTATATTTCCACCTACAAAATACAGAGTCCTGAGATAACTCTGCAGACCAGATGAGCCCTTATCTCAAATCCAAGGCCATGATTTGATCCCTGACCTATCTCCCTCCACAGAATTCCTCATCCAAGGCTCAGCTCTGCTGTCACTTTAAAATAACCAAAGACTCCATCTCATCTACGCATTGCCTCAAGCCCGACTCCTCCATTCTCATTCCTGCACAGTCACTCCCATCTGTTTTACATCCACCAGGAACTGCAAGATCACATCCACCCCAGTGGGGCTTTAAGAGGTTTCAAAACCTGCTAATAAGACAATTCAGCAGAAAGAAATGACATTGTTACTGGGATTTTTTTTTTAACCAGGGAGCATCCTTAGCAGACGCTCAGAAGTCGCATTGCCTTTAGTCATCACTCTAATAGAGACTGGCAGAAGATAATTAGGGAGCCTGAAAAACCTCCAAAGAACAGTTCCTCTACATTAAAAGACATATTCAACAAAGACACAGTATTGTATCAGCAACTTCTAGCCTCCAAACAAAGGCATGGGATCTTCACTAGGAAATCAGAGCTAGGAGTGTCTCGGCTGTGAGATTCATTGCTGGTCATTAAGCACTGACAATGCTCAGCACATCGACGGACTGGGAATCAAGGCAGGCATCCTGTACTGAAGAAGGGAAGGGAAGTGAATTTAACTAGTGAAGCTTGAAATATGTTAAGTAGATAAAGCAAATAAAATGCATCTCTTAGAAGAAGGCCCCATGCTTTCACCCTAATTATTGAACCCTAATTTGTCTTTCTAGTAACTACCCTCTCTGGGCATCTCACAGGTGTTGCTGACAGTTTTCGTGGATATAAGGTTACTTTTCCCAGCTGTATCAAGGGCTTGTTGCTCTGCTTCATCTACAGAAAGCTGAAACCTGAGGCTTGCAAAGCTTTGTTGTGTCAGGAAATGGCCTGGGTTGATGGCAGTCACAAACACGGGTAGCTGGTTGGACCCAATGATCTTAGCTGTCTTTCCAACCCTAACCATTCCATGTTACAGTGAGCCAAAAGAGAGAACTGCAACCCATTCACAAAGCCTGCTTACTCTAGAACAAAAGAAAAGCTCAGAATCAGTGCTGTGTGAAAGAGATGGACTGGCAAAGAATTAAAATGCAGAAGACAGGCGACTTTCTGAACAGAAAGGCTTTGAGTCCCTGAGCAGTGTGTTTTCAAAATGATGCATGTCCTTGTAAGATAAGAGAAACACCTTCAAAAGAATATTTGTGGACCTATAAGCTCTTTATTCCATGCAGAGAACCCAGTTCTCTGCTCTCCCATAGAAAGGCAGTATGACAGCCTCACAGCTGCTACAGTTTCAAGGAGTTTAACTGAAAAAGCAGGGGTGGCAAAATCATTTGCATGGATTACATTGCTCGACTTCACCGTGTTTTGATTCCTCTGAAAGGCACAATTTGAAACTGACTTCCTATTGCTTCTGCACAGAGTCAAAAGAACACATAAAACAAAAAGCACAAGGAGCAACCCTGTCCTAACAAGCAGCAGGTGGGACAGGACAGGGCTGCTGACCACCAGTAAGACTTTGTTTGATATTGGTTGGACTGGAGAAGTGCCATTTTATGAGAATGGTTCACCTGTGCCTGGAGGAGAGGTGGTGCTAAGCATTGCTTTTTGCAGCTCTGTCAGCTGATTGCCAGCATTGAGAATCACAGAATTGCTCAGTTGGAAAAGACCCTCAAGATTGTCTAGTCCAAACTCATCTCAACCATGCTACCCTAACAACCCGCTGCTAAATCATGTCCCTGAGCACCACATCCAGATGGTTTTTAAACACATTCAGAAGGGAAGAGTTGGTCTGTTTAAAGGATTTGCTAAAAACAGAAAACTGACTTTTTCTGTTGACATTCAAGTTAGGACTACTGGTCCATTTCCAATTGATCCACACCTTTTGCTTCTAAGTAATACATACAGTCAAAATGTATGGGTTTGACATGGCAATTACTGCATGAATTACTGGCCTAAATTCTGTGAGAAGCAAGAAATTGCTATTCGACCATTGCTTCTGGCCTGAAACTCACAGCACTGGGCATCTGACTGCTTTGAAGACACTGCCAAGTTTGTAAGACATGTAGTGCAACGGGACATTTTTTCATGACATCCCCAAAAGGATTCCACTGAGTTACAATTTCCCCCAGATGGTGGTGAGGCACTGGCACAGGTTGCCCAAGGAGGCTGTGGATGCCCCATCCCTGCAGGCATTCAAGGCCAGGCTGGATGTGGCTCTGGGCAGCCTGGGCTGCTGGTTGGCGACCTGCACACAGCAAGGGGTTGGAACTGGATGAGCACTGTGCTCCTTTGCAACCCAGGCCATTCTATGGTTCTGTGACAATTTTCCATATTTGATCTTTTCTCTTCACAGAATCACAGAATCACAGAATTGTAGGGGTTGGAAGGGACCTCCAGAGCTCATCGAGTCCAACCCCCTGCCAAAGCAGGTTCCCTACAGCAGGTCGCACAGGTCAGCATCCAGGCAGATCTTGAACATCTCCAGAGAAGGAGACTCCACCACCTCCCTGGGCAGCCTGTAAAGCTGGCTGTAAAGCTGTAAAGCTCTTGGCCTCATGACAAACACATATGGGCACTGTACATGAAATCTCCTGTTATTTCACTTTAAAGATATCTGAACTCTCCTGAACATCCCATGTCTTCATTCTTCAATGCACACATGAGAAGTAGATGAAGCAACAGCCTCATCAACGAACTTTGATCCTATTTCAAGAAAGTAAATCCAACTTCTAAGGGAACTGACTGGACAGTGGGTTGCATTTTTCTTTTAAGTCACACATGTCTAAATTCAGCACTTCATTAGCTGTTACAATTCTTCCCTTTGTTCCCAGCCCTTCAGTAAATAAAGAAGGGATTCGTTAAGCACTCCGTCAATTAAGGCTTCCTGTATTAAGCATAAGAAGTAGTCACACATTAAGGATGCCATTGTTTAAAACACCTTTGTAGAGATTCCTCAAGCAGATTCACTGCTGATTATGTTAAACAATCCTCATCTAAAATAGCCTAAGCTACAACTGCTTCAGTTTCAAGTACAGCTGTACTTCTGGTGATTAATCAAGTACTGAGCTGGCACCAAAATGTTTCAGCTGTGCCAAAGTACCTCCTTGAAAACTTTGCAGGTATTATTTATTAATATCATCTTCCTTTTTATGGCCTGATTTCATCACTGGATAAAAATAATAAAAAGTACTCCTAGAAAAAAGGGCAGATGTATGGATGACAGTCATCAAACATCCAGGCTGCTAAGGAGTTTCATTCTTACATCAGTGTCTATTAAGATAACTCATCAGGCCAAGTCCAGAACATGAACATCACATAGCATTTAAGAAGTAGAAAACAAAAACCCGTTGTTTTCTTCAGGTGTACAACAGACTGCAACCTCAGAATAAAAAGGAGTTAATGGTAGCAACCTCCAGAGTTTATCAGAATCACCTGTTTGATGCAACGCGTGTAGCAAGAGGTAATAAAATTTTATTCACTTTCCAAGTAAAGATGACTCTAAGAAACATTAAAAGTGACTCAAAAGTGGTCAATAAACGATGAGCAGAATGCCAAATCGAAATCACTGCTGACAAACGGGAGGTAGCATACAGATGGAGGAATATTTCAGTCATTCAAATACTTCCCTTGGTACTAAATGAGTTACAGCTGAGAACCTGAGCATGACGGAGAACAAGGAAGCCTCCCTTCCAGCTCCAGGATATGGAAACTGTTACAGAGCACAGTCAACCAGGTTAAGACTCCCCTTAAGATGCTGGAACACAGCTTTCCATTCTTCCTACCTTGCATCAAAAATAAATGAGAGAAAAAAACGAACAAACAAAATGCTCAGAGATACTATAAATATTAGAAGCCTGGAGAGCCTTCCATGGGAAGGGAAGAAATGAGCAGATTGGCTCTGCACGCTTTACAGCAGAAAAAAAATAAGGTGAAACAAGGTAGAAACGCAGCAGAAAAAGAGGAGTAATAAAAAGAAATATACTGCTGTGCAGAAAGACAGCACATGTAAAATTAAGGAAGAAAATATTTTATCTTCATTCAAACCAACTATAAATGTGTGGAACTCCTTGCTGCAGGATTCTCTGAAGTCAAGGATGCTAAAAGGATTTAAAAATAATCAGATATTTACGTGATTAAGAAATAAAAACCTCCACAGTTCTATTAGAGTAGGACATCAAGACCTTCTGCTCTTCCATTTATGCAAATATTTTGTAACACATCTATGAGTTGTTTCTGCTTTTCCTGCAAAACAATCTGGTTTTGCTTTGGCCATTGGCCCACAGTGAGGACAAGGAGTCAGGTTTGGAAATTCCTGATGCACAGCATCATAGCTTAAATCCCAACCTCAAAAACAGCAGAAATGGGAAGTCCCAATTGGTTGCACAGTTCCACATTTCAGTGCCTGAATTCCAAACACTTGGTTCTCTCTTTGGTCTAGCCTTCATGCTATATTTTGTACTTAAAGATTTACTGGCATTAAGTTGATTTTTATTATTGTTATTATTCAGCTGTACTAGAAAGCCTTTTTATATTCCTATCATATTTTCAACAGTGCATTAACAGGATGATTTTATTATTCCCTAATTCAGCTCGTTTGCATACACTGCTTGTTCTGTAAGATCTTCTGAACCTCATGTTATTAAACAAACAAACAAAAAAAAGGGTATTTTAGAGCAACTTCTCTGTATATTCATGTGCCATTTATGCAGAACTGGCAACACAGAAATCAAAAAGCCAGCTGTTCCCACAGGGACTCAGTGCTTGGAGCAGAATAGCTGCGTTTCATAACTTCTCCACCTCAACTTTCAGACCTCGAGGTTCAGCTAACAACCTCCTCATAGTGGACTGTCTCCAGACTGAAACAAAGCAACGCACATCCATGCAAAAAAACCCTGATTTTTATCATGTTAATGGAGAAATTGGGTTTTAGAGTCCAAGAAAAGACAAAATCCTTAAAAGCAAGATGGCAGCAGACTCAAGGCAGAACCACAGCACTCTGCTCCAGCTAACCAATAAACCATTAATCAATCTGAATTTGGGCTAGCAAACCAGCTGCAAATAAATGAGAAAACAAGTTCCAAATTGAAAATAAAGCAAATGGTCCTTTGTTTTTCAATCCTACGGTCACAAAATTAAGGGGAGATAAAGTGTGGTTGCTTAATTGAGGGCAGTTGCTGTTGAACAGGCACAGCGATAAAAGTCAATACAATTGGCACTCAGTTGTCACTAGGGAATAATGGGTTCAAAGCCACCATACAGTTCAGAGCAGAGACAGAGCAGCAGCCCACAGATTTGTCAACACATCACATGCCAGTTCTGCCACTGGCTCATCAACTGGCGTCCAGCAAGTCACCATACAGTACTGGACCTCAGTTTCTAGTCGCAGTGGGCAGGGATTAAGCTGACCTGCCTACAAACGTGCCTGAAAATCTATTTGTGAAGCCACCACTTCTTTTTCTCTCCATCATTTTATTAAAAGGCATTTTCACTTCACTCCATTGTTTGAGCTTCGCAGAAATACAAGCGCGGAAGCGAACGTTAATGAATTGCACCGAGGTTATGTCAATATATATCAGAAGGATTACTGGTAATCTTTACAGTCCAATAATTAAAAAAAAAGAAAAAGAAAACACGCTTTTTTTTTTTTTTTTTTTGGTTAAATCAAAGTATTTAGGTCTTTGTTAAAGTTAATCACTGCTTGCAATAAAGCGTTATGTTCAGTTATAATCGTTATAAAGCAATGTTAATGTGTGCTGGGGTAAGTTTAATGAAAGTAGCTCATAAAAATGACATTGGAGTGTATTTTGCCATCATAGCAACAGAGGCTTATGAAATAGCTGCAGTGGAAAGTAAATAAAATATAAATGAGTCATGTAAGGCAACAATTTTGCCACAGTGGAAGCTCAGCACCATACTGCTTTTTGTTTTGTGCTGTTTTAAGACAATTAATGCCTTAATGTTTTGCTCTCAGCAATAAACTTAGACCAAGCCCTTTATTTGTGCTTAACCAACCTGGGGTCATCCACAGTAACTTCAGTGTGACACCTTAACAAAACCAGTAAGTGCTGGCTGGGCCATGCCCAGTCTTGGATGGTCAGATGCACTAAGGACAGATCCTTAACATCATCAAACTCTACATGCCACACACTTTATTGAACCAACACCAGCTGTCTCTACTTACCTGCTTTGAAGATCCACTCCAAATATCCATTTAGCTCCCGTTCTATTTGCTGTTGCCTACGGAGTTTCAGGAAAGCTCGACGGTTTTCTACCCTCTCTCGTTCTTTGGCAAATTCACTACAGAGAGAGAAGAATGAGAAAGTACATCACACGAGGTCAGGGAAGACATGCAGCTTCTCCTTCATTTTTGAGAATAACTTCACAAAGACTGAAAGCAGCAGCAAGAAGAAACCACAGCACACTACGCATCAACGTCCAACAAGCTACCACTTCGATTCCACTGGAAGCAGAATATTTGTCACAGAAGCACCAGCAATCTTTGAGTTTTTGAAGAGATCTGCTCTTCCCAGTTGGCTTTCCTCGGAGTTTTCCCAGGCTTAAGCCAGCTTTGACAAGCAAGTCCAACGATAGCTGTAGGTGAGGTTGGGTATTCTGGAGTAAGGAGATATACCCCAGATGCTCTAGGTTGAGGGTTAACAGTGATCTCATTTTGCTGAAGTCATATGGAAAGCATCAAATCGCCTCAATGGGACTATATAAGGGAGTGGGTCAGGAAGTAAACAAATAATGCAGGCTGGAAAAAGAGAAAAAAGACACTCCACCAGTGCCAAAACCTTGTCCAAGTACATCCTACAGCCTATTTTGAAATGATGCTAAGGCAGCGGTGCAGCCACCACTCCCACACACCCACAACGGGGCTTTCTCCAGACTAATCTCTACCACCTCTAAGGAGCACCTGATGCTCCAGCTGAGGTGACCTCTGCAGGCACATGTGCTCATCTACTGCTTATATGCTTCTGAAGCAGCCCCTACAATCCCCTGCTCTGAGCACACACCAGTGAGCAGTTACAGGAGTGAATCCCACAATAGCTTAACCTATATGGTTAACCTCAATGAAGTTTTGTCTCTCACATATACCAGTGCCCTACTCTTTGTCCCATTTAACAACACTGCTGTGTCCTTCCCTGCAAGCCTTACTTAACTTTGCTCTTTGCTGAAGTCTCCCCTCGTCACCTATTTGTTATCCACAAACACTTTTCAGTTAGAATCTAACAAGGAACAGGAGATGGGAGGAAGGAGGAAGAATGGAGAACAAAGAACTGCAAGTGCCAAAGCCAGCTTCACATTCACAGCCTACATTTCAGCCTTCAAAGCTGACGCTTCTGCTTAATTTGGCAGGACTGACCCAAGGAGAAGGGGACTGCAGGAGAACTAGGCTCAGCACTGCAGCACACACCTCTACAGCCATGATGTGAGAGCTGCAATGAGCCACAATGTGACCCTCATTCCCCTCTCCTGAGTTCCTAGGCAGAGCCATCAGTGAAATGGAGGAAGCTGAAAATCACTCTGCACTGACAGCTGGCTGCTCCTCAGCATTCAGCACATCTGCCTGGGGACTCGGGTACCTGCACGCGACAGCTGGGATGCCCATTTTCTCCCTCTTCCTTTCTAATGCTCTCATTTCTGGTTCAGCACCCACTGGTGAGGGCCACGGACCTCCTCCTGAGTGCTGCTCCTCAGGGGTTGGTACTGGGACTGGCACTGCTGGGAAAGCAGATCTCAAGAGATGACCCAAACACGTCGGGTTTCACCGACTGTCTTCCGAGCATAGCAGAGCTCTAGCAGGTTGAAGACTGGAGAGTCCTGAGGCACAGTCTTCCTAGTGGAGGAAAGCATCGTGGACCTTTCTCCTGCCTCACGAGATTCAACTAAGCTGGAATCTGTCGAAAGATTTTTTCTTTGTGAAATGCGTTAATAAAAGCATGCTTCTCTCTCCTCCACTGCATTCATCATCATTCAGGAACGGAAATATTCCCCATCTGCAGTAACTGGAAAAATCTCAGAATTTCTTTATGAATAGAGATTTTCGGCAAATTTTCTGAACGATTTCAAAGAAAAGGGGAACAAATAATAAAAATGGCATATTTCATCTAGAAATACTTAAGCTGAAGGTTTTCTGCCTGTTCCAACAGAAGCTTGGAAAACCCCATAGGAATGTTTCATAGCAGTAAATAAATCTACTTTTTTATCCAGCATAATTGCTATTTATGCCACTGACTTTAAAAAATGAAAAAATATCCCAAATTTTCTTGGAAATCTTAGCAGAAAACAGGCTGCCTCCTGCCCAGCTTTACATCCAGGATGTTCACGACAGCAGCTAATTCTGGAATGAAGAATATTAAATAACATTCATCCATTCTTATCCTTCCTAACAGCTACCGTGTGCCCCAAGATGTCCCCCAAAACATTCCTCTTTCAGCACTGCCTGGATGGGCGTTAGGAGGTGGAGAGCTGGAAAGGTTGGCACTCCTACACACAGCACAGCATCAGGAGACACTGCTTAGGATGAAGATGAGATCTGCCTGGATAGATGACTAGAGTGCATTTTAGTTAAAACATGACAGTTGTGAACAACTGATCCTACAGAGACAGCCGGAGTAGACATGAACGTAAGGGCATTCATCATGGAAACCATATGCCATCCCAGCCAAGCTCAATGTGTCACATTCTTCTCCTAAAGACTGGTCGGTGCTTAAAATCGCCAGGAGAATGAATGATTGTTACTTGTCACATTGGTGGGAGGAAGAGTGAAATCGATCATGATGTAAATATGCACTGGAATGGGCACTTCAGGGAAACTCAAGAGTTTCCCAGTCACAAGGGAGACAAGGTCAACTCATGAGTAACCATCAAGGTCTATAAAAATATTATACTCCAATGACATCCTTACAATTAATTTATCCATGCCAGTCTTAAGTGAAAAACACTGTCACACCAATTGAAAAGGAAAACAAACAAAAACCCTGATCTACATCCTCTGTTCAATTTTCCCATACAACAGCTGAACTGGAGTACTGTGCAACAGGCTGCCTGGTCTGAGGCTTTGTGGCGTGCACCCAGGCTTGCTGCAAGGCTAATCACATCATTCAACATCTGTAATTCATGCTTTCCCAGTGGAAAGAAGACAGAAAAGCTTCCCACTCAAAAGAGAGAGGTGATACAGCATTGCTGTCATTGCTAGCTCTAATAGTGGTGGTGATTAGCGATTCACGATAATGACATAGGTAATTAGCTCCTCATTCAGAACAGTACCACTGAGCTACACATGATCTCATGAAAACTCATCTCTTATGCTGAGAGAAAAGCCTTCCTCTACTGAATCCAAAGCACTGTTCAGAGCAAGCAAAAGGAGCACAAATCTCAGGAGGACTTCAACAAGAATTCCCAGAAAGGAGTTTAAAAAGTCTTCAGAATTTTATGTCTAGAACAACAAAAGAAAGAGTTTAAGAACCAGCTTCATCTCGAGTCCAAGCATTTCAAAGGAATGAGCAAAAATGAGGCACACGGGGGACATGAGCCCGCCAAAACTGCCAGAGAAATTCAAATGGGTGATTTGCTAGCTAAGGAACTAGCCAGGCCTAGAGATGTTTGACTGCCTGAGTCACTCAGTGGCCAAAGTGAATTCTCCAAGTGGAGAAAGAAAATTGGCCAAGACCAAAGGCTTAATTTGTGAGCTCTGTTACTTGAACATGGAACGGGGCCCAAGAACAGACTTGTTATTTGGCAGCAGCCTGTTAAACAGCCCACATCACTCAGGAGCAGTGAGGGACGGGCTGGAGACAGCTGATGGAATACACCAACTCCTCTGGCTGCTCAACATGCAAGTTGCAGGAGCATCACTGTAGGAGACACAAGCCAGAGGAGCAGCAGTTGCACAGACTCACTTGTTTTGTGCCACTCAAGGACTATCTGGGGGGGGAGAGGCCACGGAAAGAACCTCAACAAAAGATTCAGTGCCAATTATCTACCTAACTGCCTGTAAGCCTTCAACAAGAACAATGCTGACCTATAAACTTCCATAGGATGCTACAGTAGGAACCCAGAGATACACTTATAGGACAGCTGACAAATGAACATGTTGGCTGATAGAACTTGTAAGATGGACATGAAACTACCTGCATTTTTATTTTTTTTTTTTCAGTAAAACCAGATTTCTTGTGCTTCTGCTCACTCAGGGGCTGTATTTTACTCACCAGATCCTCCAGAGCCCTAGGATAACCTCCAAGCACAAGGGAAGGGAGAATCTACGTGCAAGCAGAAACACTTAATGGGGTTTTAAGGGTGGATATCCACTTCCTACCATTTGTTCTGGTTAATCAACTGTGGGACAGAACTTGAGTTAATTTTTAGTTTCATTCTCAGGTCTTTGTGTTGAAGGGTTTTTCCACCTTTTCCCAATCCAACCAAACCCCTACTTTGGTTCGATAGGACAAGAGGTGACGGCTTAAAGTTGCAGCAGGGGAGGTTTACGTTGGATATTAGGAAAAATTTCTTCTCAGAAAGGGTGGTGAGGTATTGGAACAGGCTGCCTATGGACGTGGTGGAATCACCACCTCTGTAAGTTTTCAAGAAAAATTGATATGTTGCACTGAACAGCATGATGTAGTGGTATGGTGGAGGTGGGCTGATGGTTGGATTTGATCTTAGTGGCCTTTTCAACCTTAACCATTCTATGATTTTACTGCTTGGGTGAAGCTCGTTATGACAGCACGGTAGGCAGGTTCCTGCTGAGCCCCTCCTTGTGCTCCTGCCATCCCGCAGTGCTGCAAGGCTCCTGGGATTGAATTTCCTGCCTCACCCACGCAGTCCTGCGAAGCCCCTTGCAGCTTGATTTAGCAGGGCCTGATCTGGTTAAAAACCCCAGCATTTCATTCACTAACCACATCAGCACCCAAGTGTCTACAGAAAAGCAGATTCTCGCTCCAGGGAAATAATTTGTTCTGCAGGTTCATATCTCTGTCTTTTGTCTTTCTGAAGAACAGTAAATCCTTTATAAGTGGAAATCTCTGCTGGATGCGGGAAAAAAAAAAAACCCAACACCTTTATGGCTGTAACTGTTTATGCAACAAAGGACACAAAGCCTTGGCAGTGCTAAACATTTATCTCACCTACTGCAAACCTGTACATTGAGAGACAAAGACACAGAGGGAGCCCTGGAAGAAAGGGAGCACATGGAGAGCCAGCAGGAGCAAGATGGACACGGGGCTGAATTGCTTATGGCAGCACACAGGAGGTCAGGAGTCAGGGGGGACGATGGCGGGGAGAAGAGAGCTCAG